AGAAGTGAAGCAGGTTTGTGGAATTTGTTTGTCTGAAGAAGGAAAGAAGACAATCCGTGGAACATTGAATTGCTGCAGTCACTTCTTCTGTTTTGTGTGCATCATGGAGTGGTCAAAAGTTGAGTCTCGGTGTCCCCTCTGCAAGCAAAGATTTGTAACAATCACAAAGGCTGCAACAAAATCAAGTGCTGGATTGAATTCAAGGACTGCGGTGATTCAAGTACCTGAGCGTGATCAAGTAAATTCTTTTATTTTTACAAAATAAATTTCCTTCCATATTCAAATCCACTATTGCTTTGCTGTTTACTATTAAATTTATTTATTATATAAATGTAGGTTTATGTACCATCTGAGGAAGAGCTCAGGGATTATCTTGATCTATACGAAAATATTTTATGTACTGAATGTCAACAAGGTGGGGATGATGCTCATATGCTTCTTTGTGATATCTGTGATTCTCCTGCACACACTTACTGTGTTGGCCTTGGATATGAAGTGCCCGAAGGTGACTGGTACTGCGAAAGCTGTAGGCTAACATCTCCCCGTGACACAATGCCAGAAAGTTCGAATCCGACTGTCACCCACTTTAATATCAGATTGCCTTCTATAGCCGCCAGCAGCAGGAGGGAGAGTTTGGAGTCGGACGAGATGTATGTACCTGAAACACCACTAACCCAACGTACATGCAACAGTTCATCATCCCCTAGAGATGCTCAAGCGTCTTCTTCAGCTTCCAGATTTGCGGCTTTCACAGTTTCAGACAGGAGAAGAATACATCATGGAATAAACCGACTCATTAACATTAGATGGAGACGGTAGCAGAATGGGAATACTACTAGAAGTTCAGAGCTCTTAGAGTGGGAATTCTTGAAATTATATGAAAGCAGACTAACAAAATCATTGTCTACCAGGTATTTTTTTTAAAAAAAACTTTAAACTCTATGAAAGGGTGGGGGGTACAGATTGACAATTGTGAGGGATACAATTTTCTGTTGATAAACATACCATTTTAAAACAATGATTCTTTCTTCTTCTTTTTTCATAATGCCAAAGGACATGTGTAGTTGAATGCTCAATTGTAAGACATTGCATGTACAACAAATATCATCATCTTGAAAATAGTTCCAACTTATACCACTATACATCCTGATTCAAGGAAATATATCCACAATTTAAGAGGATTATTCAATATTTTTTTGTGTTTTGTCCTTGAACTCCGGTGGTGGGTTCCTTCTCTTGACCCTCAAGAAAGCAACCATTCTACCATATCTCTTGGATAGTTCGTGCCCGTGTGCACAAAAGATGGGTTCTAAGGGCAAATATCGGGTCCGTAAGGTTGGGGTAGAAATGGCTTTCCTCGAATGTACTTGTGGATTTCCATCTTTTGTTGGCAAAGACATTTGTCCATCTGTTCGTCTTTCATCTGCAGCCAAAAACGCTCTTGCGTTAAAATCGTCAGCCCTGGGAAAATGCTATATGTATACCATGTTTACACTATATTCCAAATTTAGAAATTAACTTTGCCTATTTTACATGTTTTTGGGTAGAGACAACTTGTCCCTGCTCTTTAAAATTTTGATGGGTGCAAATCTGGTATTTATGGAGTTGCATTTTCCTTGATCTATCTTCGTGTTGTCGTCTTCATCCTCATCAAGTGGGACCCGGGGAAAGTGTTGAGTACTCCATACTTGTATGAATTGAGCTAGACTCATTTAAAGGTAACTTCTGGAACTATTTGAGGCATATCCCGTCATTTACTTCACCAACTCTAGGGTAGGGGTGTGAGGGACCCTGGGGATGGGTTCCACCTTTTCCCTTCACAAAGCACGGATCAAAATTAGTATCTGTATATGTGGGTGTGTTTGTGAGGAGAGGGCGGTTCCCGTGACATTGAATTGAAATCTAATGTTATCTGGAGCTGCTGCGGGGTTCCGTTTTTAAAATTGACGGTTCTTTCTCCCGGTAAACATCTCCACCCCTTTAATTGCATCCCTAAATTTATTTGACTTTGAAGTCAAAAGTTTATCCCTCCGTTGCGAGGAAAGATGAAAATTGGGGTCACCTTACCTTAGCGGTGTAAATTAATTCCGAAAGCGGTAACGCTAAAGGCTACTCGTAGATAACCTTTTTTTCAAAACGCTAACGCTATTCCCAAATATGCCATGTATTTGTCCCTAAGTATTTACCGAGTATTGATGTTTTGTAGTCAAAATTAACCGATTTTGACTATGAATTAAATAAAATTGATGAACAATGTTGATACAAAGCATGAACAAATATAAATACATATAAATGTGTTTTTGGTCATATTTATGTGGTTCATCCCATTCTTTAGACAATATTTCAATACTCCGTATTAATTAAAAAGTAAAGTAAGGATTAATATGAACCATATAAATGTGAACAAATAGGGTAGTACTACGTATTAGATAAAAGTAGCGGGATGGACAAAAGCGTAAAAAATAATGGGGTGTTGTAGTGTAAATTTTCATTAAAATTTAATACGTGAAGTATGTATGTATGTATGTATGTATATATATATATATGTATGTATATATATATATATATATATATATATATATATATATATATATATATATATATATATATCAACCACATTAATTTATCAAAAACCCGAATTCGATATTTCGGTCCATTATGAATAATTTTTTGGAAAAAATGCTCCCGAACTTCTCCCTTTTTTCCTTGTTCCTATCTCTAATCTAGACCCAAGTCAAATCGAGAAAAAAATTATTAGACACATTTATAAAAATTTATACAAATCTTGGTCAAAGTTTATCTGTTGTTACCCTAAAACTTATGAAATGAGTGGAGTATTTGTTTCGAAAAGTTCACAAAACTAATGAAAAGAATGTTTGAGTTAAATAAGGAGTATAAAAATAAAAATAAAAGGGTAGAATTCTAAAAATGTTCTACAAAAAATAAAAATAAAAAAAAACACACGCACTAAACTCAAATGATTTACAATGATATTTACCTATATATGTCGCTCTCATGATATGATGAGTTATTAAATACTGATTCTTTTGGGGGGAAAATGTGTACTACGGAGTAAAAGGCAATGCATATGATGGGGAAATTTTGAAAAGTATACGTATTTTATTTGAGTTCAGTTTTAATTATATTCCCATTTTCTTGTGTAATGAGTATACTTTTCCCATATAAACACAGATAAATTCCTACAAAACAACCATTATTGAACTAGTATGAATCCTAGAACACTTACCTTCCGTTCTGTTCGATTTAATATTACATGAAAAAAAATGTGTAGAGTGTAGGGGTGAGCACGAGCCGGTCCGAGTCAAGATTTGTATAAACCAGACTCTAAGAAAGTTTGATTTATTCGGTCCAGTTCGGTTTTGTTTTTTCGGTTTGATTTTTTTAGCTTGTTTCAATCGGTATCGGTTCGATTTGTGGTTTTCAATTTTCCCAACCTAGCCCTAAATGTGAATAGTAAACAAAAAATTTAAATTGGGATTGAGGGTCCGTATTTAAATTACGGTGAGGGGCGCCCATAGGGTTGTTTATCACGTACATTCGCATAGGGTCCAAATTTCAAGAGGTCTTAATTTATAGATTATTTTTCGGTTATTCCTCATCAAAGTTTAGGTTTTGATTATGAAAAATTTAAAAAAATATCTTAAAAGTGTTGAAAAATATATAATGTACATGGTCATTGTGGTGATTTTTTTAAATGCTAAATATTATGAGAGAGAAATTTTTTTCTACTAAAAAATAATGTAAAGTTTGAAGCAAGATATATATGAAGCAGCACATTTTCAATTAAACAAGGAATTAAGGCGTGACTATAAGCAGTTAGCTCAAGTCCAGGCATCTTATACCTCTTCGTTAATTGTGGTTTTCTTTAACAAATTTAATGATAGTTTAATTTTATAAAGTTCTATTATTTTAAATGTTAATTATATTATGTACTTCGTATTTAATAAATATTTGATCATGAAAAAATCTTGTATAATTTTTAAATTAGAGCAGTAAACCCCAAGAGTTTAAAAATACACAGGCCTTGAAGTTTTATCAACAATGATTGGGCGGGCCTTATATTTAGAATAAATTCTATAATTAGTCTTTAATGCAAGTAATTTTCATATTTAATCTTCTATCATCAAATATTACATTCGTAGTCTTTTTATGCATACCTTTCCACGAATCCTTATGTAACGTTGGTGTTAAATTAAAAATGCAATTTCACAACTATCATACTCCCCCGTCCCTATTTTGATTACAATATTCCCTCTTCTTCTTGTCCCAAATTTGATTACAATATTCCCTCTATTTTTCTTTTGGACAAAATTATCCCTTTTCCATATCCCTACCTACAATATGGTAGTGTCGTATAGAGCACTAATAACAACAGGGATATTTGGGGAATTTTCATTTTGATTTGACTTAATATTAAACTTGACAAAAAAAAGAATATTGTAATCTAAATGGGGACGAAGAGAGTACATAATTTTTATTTTTAAATTTCACATCATTTTTCATACTCCTATAAAATAATTTGAAAATAAATTTAATCAAACATCTTAAATTGAAATATGAAACTTAAATTGAGATGGAAGGATTACTTGATCTAAGCTAAAAAGTAAACACGTTTTTATTAGAAAAGGGCGTCAAAAGCACGTGATGTCTTGGCACAAGACCAATAATAGAACAAAGTCATAATCTGATGGCAATGGCTAGAGCAATAATAGTGCATGCAATAATTGTGTTTGTGCCCATTTCTCAAGTGTTTCAACGTTTACTTTTAATGTTCTAATTTTTCTAAAATTAATCCAAATCATTAATAAATTATAAAAAATGCTAACACCAATCAACCACATTGTTCCCAAGCACACCCATAACGTGACGTTTCGATTGGCTTGGATCGCCACGGAGTTGCTCCATGGACCATTTGTAAAATTACCTTTAAGGACATCCAAACCGCCCATGGAGTAACCCGAAAACACAGCTCAAAGCAAAAGGTGTTAAAATGTCTATTTATTATAGTGTCAATGCAACAACAATAACAACCGAATGACAAACGTCTCTCAAGTTGGGTGGGGGGGGTCTAAGGAGGGGGGCGATATTGTCAATGCATTAACTTATATTGGAAACAAATACAAATACACATACACAAGTTGGCAACCTAAGGACTAATAAACATCCCCTACAAGACAGAAGAAAACACATAAGAGATCTTATTCCGTGGTTGGATTTTCATCATAGTCCGAGAGAAATACAAGAGGGTTGCGAACCCGGTCAAAGTCCTGCGGTGTTCATTCGGCTGGGGAATAAATAGTCCTTCAAGTGCGGGGGTGGAGGTATGTACCTTCATAAGTTCTCGAGAAGAATGGTGGACAACACCAGCCCTCGAACAAACTCGCTCCTCTTTGTCCTCTCCTCTTTGTCCTCCACTGATAATGGAGGTTGTTTTCTGCAAAACAAATGTGTGTAAGGGCGTGTACTCTTCAACTTATTCTTATTGGAATCAGATCGGAAAAACTCGGGGAAAAAAATTCAAATCAGACCAAACCTTAAGAAGTTCATATTAGAACTAACCAGATTGGACAAAGAGAACAAGCTCCAAGCTAAGTGTCCTTTGGGTTATACTTCTGGTTTATGTTTCCGTTTTCACTTAGATGAAAACTAGAACAAGAGGACACGTTTATGAAAATTTATGTGTTTTTATTGTAAATAATATGTGTCTCGTTAATACAAAACAGTTTGGGATTTCAGAATTTTGGAAAAAGTACAACAAGAACAAAAAGTTCCAAAACCATCAAACCTTTTTAAAAAAGGTTATCAAACTCCTTTAAGAGGATGCTTTGCTTCTGTTTAGGATTGAATGGAAATAAGGGGTTAAGAAAATAACTGATTCAAGGAATACCCGACATGCAAATCTAGCAAAAAAAAATTAAAAAAAAAAGTTTTTGACTGCTGAAGTTGGCAAATTAATACTGTCTTGTACAAAGAGTAATGTTTCATAAACGTACAACTTTTAAATTTTATTAAGGCACAACTATTGGAAATCAAATAAAACTAAATTTAACACACTCAACTTTTTTGGTGTTTGGGAGACTTTATACTATAAAAGGAAACATTAAATACGACAAAAATTAGCTTCTTTTGCTCAAAATGGATTCATCTTTTATAGCAAAGAATAAGCTCAGAAACATAAAAAAACAAGCTTTAGATCATGAGTTTCTTTTCAAGAGATGCAAAGAATCTTGAAAATATTTTCGTCATTTAAAAACTAAATTTCATCCATTTCACGTTACAAACATGAGTTAAGAGACTGAAAACAAACTGGGCATGGAAAAAGAATACCTTTCAGGAACATTTTCTGATGTGCTTTTCGTAGCAGAGTTGGCTTCATGAGAAGAGTGTAACTGGGCATTCCCAAAATCATCCGACATTGGCAAAATAAATGAAGCCAATGGGTCTGGCGCAGCACTACTTGAAGGAGCTGCTATAAAGGAAGATGACCCTCCTCCTATGAGAGACTGGAAATTTCCTTCTCGCAATTTCTTCCTCAACAATGAAAGCGTCGAATGTGAACTGCTTTTACGTGATCTCCTCTTGTGCTGCATGTAGAACTCTGGTCAAGGAGCTCACAACAATAATTGAAATGTGAAAAGTTCTAGTAGGGAGAGTGAACATAAATTTGGGAAGGACTAAAAAGGAAAGTGTATAAAACAAAAAAATCATGGGACATAGAGCGTATAGCCGTATGTTATATAAAGATCAGGAAAGATGAGAAACTTAGGTTCAAACTATACATGTTAGCATACAATAGAGGGAGGATTCTAAAAAACTACTCCTTCTGTCTGGATTTAGTGGCCCACTTTCTAAAAGATCTCATTTTCAAGAAATGAGATAAAGAGAAAATAAATCAATGAAATGAGATTAGAGAGAAAAATAAATCATTAAAATGAGTTTTTCATTAATTCAAGTCAACAATGCTCATACTCTTATCTCAAGAATATTTTAGACAATTCAACATATTTTTTATATTGATTACTAAAAGTGAAAAACTAACTCCGGACAAACAAAAATAAGAAAATGGACAGCTAGAATCCAGCCGGGGGAGGGGGGAGGGGGGGTAGTATATACTAGAACACCAAGCCAATGCCTTACTCAACCACAAAATCTCCACAAAATCTAGTCATTATTGAAAATTTAGCATTTTCCTAAATACCACTCCCTCATTTCTGAATGAGCCAAAATAGACCATGGAATATATGTATGCATGTGTATGTGTGTGTCTACCATCCCAAAATAAACTTGACAGTTTCTTCTTTTTGGTTGTCCCAAAAAACTTCCCATTTCTCTTTTGTCCTATTAAAGAATGAAATATGTTGTTCACGACACAATCTATTTTCTCTAAATGAATTCCAACCGCTCACTATTTATTTTTCTAAACACTTTTTTTATATTTCATAAAGTCAAACACCAAAGTTTATTTCGAGACGAAGGGAGTATATAGCAAAAAGAGAATAATTTCTTATTGCATGCTGGAAAAAGGATATCTTGAAAACATTCCCATGCTGCAATACGACGTGTGCGACCATGTCAACCCCCACCCTTGTTGCGCAAACCGGACACACCTGGAAAAAAAAGAGTGCCTTTTCAGCACAAAGCTTCACAACAAACCTTTCATCTCTCAATATCTGAGTGCAATAGAATACAGAAAAGAAATCTTGAAATAAAATGGAAATCCACATTCCACGCAAACATACAAAGGCAAATCAAGCAGAGAGCACAACATTTCGGATTCATGAAGAGTTATCACTATCTAGTAAACATAAAACCCCAAGAACTTGGTAAATTGGGTCAGTAGAGTAAAATTCATAGCCTGAAAGGCATTGTAAATTGTCTCTAGCACACAAACCAGCAAAAAGGTGCAATCTTTGTAAACTGTCTCTAGCACACAAACCAGCAACAAGGTGCAATCTTTGCATATACCAATACCATTTTGAGCAAATAGTACTCACACAAAGTAACCTCACACCTCTCCCGAATCAGTATGTATTCGATACAAAAATGGTTAATTCATTATTCTATAAACAATTACCAAAACAGACATTTCCAGCACCAGTAGATCAGCACATAAATCAATGCTAAAACAATCACCTAAAGTACTCAACTTGATACTCCTTTTTTTGAAGCTCAAATAACAAACAAACAAAAATAAGAACAAAGATCCAATTGAAGAAGAAAAAACCAATACCCCATTCTGGGCTTCAACAGGGTGTTCGTCATCAACATGGCAGCACAATCCAACGACATCATAGTACTCAGAACAAAAGGGGCATGGAAACTCCTCTCTGACATCATCCTCGACCATGTCTGTTTCCTCGAATCCTATCAACATTTCCGAATCGATACCCTCCCATCTCATCCCTACCAAGAAATTTCATATAAAACAAATCTCTTCAAAATTGAAAAGAAAAAGAAAAACAAATCCCAGAAAGCATTTCATCCAAAACAAAGCGAAAAGTGAGAAACTTGCGTTCATCAACGGAATCCCAGAAAGGAAAACACGAAATAAGAAGACATCCAAATCCATGGAATCAGAAACCGCACCGAAAATTAAAGAAAAACAGGTGAAATCATACCAGATCGAGACTGGGAAGCGGATTGATAGCGCCTGGAAGTAGAAGATAGACGAGCGGCCCAAGAATCAGAATCCATGGCTAATAACTGCGATAAATCTTGATGAGTTATCAAAGAAAATTGAGGAAGCCAATCGAGAACCAGTGACCCAGAGAAGACGATGATGTGAGAGAGAGAGGGTGGCCCTTGAAATGAAAATCCCACCTAAGACGAGTGTTTTCCATACAGATTTTATTTACGGCATTTACTATTCTCTGTATATAATCCGTATATGGGCCTCTTTGGAAATAGCTTTAAAGATTAGCGTTAGCATTTTGGATAAAAATTTAACGGTACAAATTACTTTGAAAACGCTAACGCTAAACGCTGCCCGTAGATAGCCTTTTCAAAACGCTAACGCTAATCGCTAAAGCTATTCCCAAACAGGCTCTATATCTATCTGTATAATATACTCCATCCATCCGTTCTCAAAAACATTTTCCTCTTTCATTTTTTCCACTTCCAACAAAACACTTCCCCTTTCTATTAAAAAACTACTTTTACTCTTACTTTTTCATACCCTACCTATCACATCATATTTTTTCTCTAATAATCTATCCATCACATCTTATTTTTTACCCATCACATCAGGGGCAAAATTGAAAATCAACTACTCTCTCCGTCCCAAATCATTTGCCACATTTGTTTTTTCAACAGTCGCGGGAACTTTTGTTTATTTCTACGTTTTCATTGGTTATTTGATAAAATAAAATCTTCTTGACACCTCTTATTTCGAAGAACTTTTCATGTAGTTTTTTGATATGTAATTTTTATTTTTTATTTTTTTACCAATATGTAAATAAAATGAATTGAAAAAACTTGATATTTTACTTCGGTAATAGAAATGTGACAAATAATTTGGGACGGAGGGAGTATAATTTAACACTTCCTTATTTTTGCCCCCAAATCAAATGGGAAGGGTTTTTCCAAACGGAGGGAGTACTACGGAGTACTATCAAAAGTTCTACTCCCTCCGTCCCCCAGTTTTTATCCACTTTTGACTTTTGGAATTGTTCATCTAAACACTTTGACTCATCAAAATTCTCTCAATGTGTAAGCCTAAATATAGTCATGTGTGATCTTGTTTGATTTGTCTTAACATATAGATTATTAATATATAATTTCTATAATTTTTTAATATACAAATTACAATATAAAATTAATTAAAGAAATGCATTGGATGATGTGTAAAAATGAAAGTGGACAAATACTATGGGACAGAGGAAGTACAAAATAAAAGGTGATAGGAGTATAGGACTATATTATTTTATCAACTAACTAACGAAAATAGGTAAAGAAAGTGATTAAAGTTCGACCATGTGAACAGTAACTAAAATAACATTTTAGGATGGAGGGAGAAGTTGAAAGATTTTTGTTGAATAAATTCTCAAATTGGCACTCCATAACTATATGTTTTCCTAAATCAGTTTCCAAAATTAACTAATACCCGAGATGCTACTCATTAATTGAGAATAATGCACAGTTCAGTCTCACGACTAGCAACCGTTAAAACTGAATTAAAAAAACGTTAAACTTTATATTACTTTTTCAAAATGGTACTCTCTAACTTGGTGTTTTCTCAAATTGGCCCATTTTTATTATTAATTATGAAAAAATATTTTCAGTTTTTTAGGATGAGAACATAATACCAAAAACTACAATTATAATTTTTTAAATTTGAAAATAAACATTTTAGATTATTTACAATTATTTAGAAAAATATCATGTAAATAAAATATGTAATAAACGTTAAAGAAATTACTTTAAATAAGAGTCAAACATAAAAAAATTACCAAAATAAGAACTCTTTCTCTATGTTTTACTTCTATTTATGGTTCTTTCTTTAACATTTATTAAACATTATTTTATTTACATGAAATTATTCTAAATATTTGTAAATAATCTAAAACGTTTACTTTCAGGTTTATAAAATTATATTTATAGTTTTTAGTATTATATTGTCATCCTCAAAAAATTAAAATAATTTTTCATAATTAATGTATTTTTATTTTGAAAATGGACCAATTTAAGAAACTACCTAGTTAGAGAGTATCATTTGGGGAAGAAGTATAAAGTTCAATGTCGTTTTAACGGTCGTTAGTTGGGGGAACTGAACTGAGCATTATTCTCAATTAATGAGTACCATCTCAAGAATTAATTGATTTTGAGGACAAATTTTAAAAAATACATAATTATTGAATACTATTTTCAGAATTTACTCAGCTCTGTTTGTTCTTTATTCTCTATTTGATTTTTACATATATTGTGTTTGGTTGAGGAAAAAAATTCACTAAATTTTGATTCTATTTTTCCTGCATTTCTTAGCATTAAAATAAAATAATTTCAAGAAAAAATATTTTTCTTCAATAGGAGAAAAAACAATTTCCATTAAAATTAGAAGAAAAATTTTCATTTTCTTTCACTCAATCCCCACGCGCGCCCCTCCCCCCACCTCTGCCCACCCCTTACCCTTTTCATATCACCCACCCCACCACCCCTATCTCATCCCTTATACCTACCACCCTCAACCACCCCACCTTGCCACCCCCTATTCACACCTTCTAATTTCCCTACATCCACTATAACACCCCAGTCTCCATAATCTGGATACATGAACTAGCAAATCAAGTTGACATTAAGTTGGCATCCAAACATATCATATTTTCAATGCATTTCAAAAATATTTAAATTTAAAATATTATTTTATTATCAATTAGAGTAATATAAAATGATGCAGAAGCTTAAATATTTAATCCAAAACACAACTTTGGGTTCTTGCCCAAAAATATATAATAAGTTCAAACTCAAATATTAATGTTCTCCATTTGATCCATAATATCTCCCATGCCAACTTTATAATATTGGCCTTATTCCGTAGACTCAGATTTTTAAAGCCTAGCCACCCATATTTCTTAGGCAAACATATATCTCCCCAAGCAATCAAAAAATTTCTCTTATGATCTTGAGAAGACCTGCACAGGAAATTCTTACACAAGGACTAGGTCCTCTTTATTACCATAATATGGATACGAAACAGCCTGCTCTAGAAAGCAATAATGTCACAAAGGACAGAATTAATCAATTTGACCTTTCCAGTATATAAAAGTTTTTTTGAAGATCAGATTGTAAGTTTGGCAAACATCCTCTTGATGAGTTTTTCACAGTTTTTTGTACTAACTCTGGAGGAAGTAATGAGGCCTCCTAGATATCTGAAAGGAAGAGAGCCCTTTCTCATGTTGGTTAGACGAAGAAGAATATTCTAACTTTGAATGATTAACTCCGAGACCAGTAATATAGGTGAAATGCTTAAAGGCACACATAATACAATTAATGAAGTTTTCATCAGCCTTTGAAGCTACAATTAGGTCATCATCAAAGATAATATTAATGAGTTTCAAAATTTTGGAGAGGGGGTGATATCCAAATTTCTCCTTAGATGCATAATATTGTAAAGACCCAGTAAGAATTTCCATTATGATGACATATAATGTTTGTGACTCAACAGTAAACAAATGTGGATGTACTTTATAATAAACGAAGAGTGATGATAAGGTTATAATTAGTACTCGGTTCATTTCAAATTAAAGATTTCACTTATTTTTTCACATAAATTAAGAGAATGTAAATTTGTTTAGTCTAGATATATGGATATATGAGAGAAATATTGTAGATCACTTATTTCATTCTTTACAAGGAATGGAATTTTTATTTTATTACAATTGAAAAAGAAAAGTGAAGTATTTATTATAAGACAAATGAAGTACTCCCTCCGTCCCAAAAAGATCGCTACGTTTCATTTCTTTGCGCATAACAAAAATCAATGCTACTCACATCTAAAATTTCTAAAATTTACCATATTTACTCTTTATTATAAGATGAAATTGTTTTGAAAGTTTTTTTGGCATTTGAGATGATATAAAAATATTTTAAGGGATGCGCAAAGAAATGAAACGTAACGATCTTTTTGGGATGGAGGGAGTACATATTAGTTTGTCACATATAAGGGCGAGCATGATACGTTATTTTAAAATGAAAGAAGTTCTAGGTAGTAAAATCTTTGAATATAAATTTTCTTCTCAATCATGTTTTGATTAGATTTATTTTGAGTTGTGAGCAAAAATATTCTAAATAATATAGATTATAATTAGTTTTCAACACAAAAAAATATAGGACTAACTTGTGATAATCTCCTTATTTTTCCTCTTCAAAATATTTTCCTATTCAAAATGCTACAATGACTCAAAAAATCAAAATTCTATGATGACTCAAAAAAATGATATCCAGTTCTTTTCCAAAAAAGTTCATTACTTTTCTTGAGATAATATGTAAATCGATCAGATGCTCAGTATATTAAAACTCAAAAGTCAAAATTTGACTCTAAAGTCAAAATCAATTTGTGGAGTACAATTGAAGGGGGTGGGGTGGGGGGAGTGTTCAGGTCGGGGTGAGGTATGGGACTTTACTAGGGGTTATGGGATAGAGACCGTTAATTTTATGAACGGAACACCAGAACACCCTCGGGTAGGGGTGTTCAAAAATATCCGATCCGAAAAATCCGTCCATGATCCGGGCATATCCGATCCGAAAAACAGATATCCGATCCGATATTTTGGCTTTCGGATATTTCGGATATTTCGGATCGGATATGGATTCAATTTCTGGAATTTTTCGGATAATCGGATATCCGATTTTTTTTCTTATATGTTTAATGGAATTTTATGAATATATATTATGGGTATATGTTTAATGCAATTTTATGTTGATTTTGGAACTCAAGCATTTTGGACTTTTTGCATTAGCATTTTAAAACCTTTTGTTTTAATAGTAATTTTTTTTATTTGTTTAGGCAAAAATACCAAAGTTACTCCCAAATTGAATTTGGTATCAATTTTTTACTAGGCCGTTATCTTGTGGTGAAATTTTTCTTTTAGTAAATCTATATTGATTTTGATATTGTTGGTTGATTTTGCTATTTTACCTTTTCTTTGTAAATTTTGTCTAAAAAGTCAATTTTTCGGATAATCCAATGTTTCGATCTGAAAATTCGAATATCCGAATTTCGGATATCCGAATATTTTCGGATCGGATATGGAATGAGTTTTACATGAATAGGACTAAAACATAATGACTTTCCCAATATAAGACCATATATTTTTATTTTCTAATCTAGTCATTATCAAATAGTTATTATTCCCAACATAATGACTTTCCCAATATAATAGTCATTATCAAATAGTTATTATTCAACTAAATGTTCATGATTACAGGACATTATTCTTTCCACTAGGTCATTATTAAGTCCTATTTAGAGAATAAAAAAGTTTAAGTTCTACATTAGGAAAGTCATTATTTCCTCCGTCCTATAATGATCTTCCCAGAGCAGTATTCCAACTCCACAGAAATTTATATTTATTTGTGTTTTTTCATGGCCTATATGATAAAATGAAATATTCTTGTCACCACTTGTTTTGTTGAACTTTTGATGTAGTTTTTAAATATGTATGTTTTACTTTTTATTTCTATACCAATATTTAAATAAAATAGATTGAAAAAATTTGGGTTTTTTTTTCGTTTTGCGAACCGGGAAGATCATTATAGGACGGAGGGAGTATGTTTTAGTCCTATTTAGTACAAATTTCACTAGGAAAGATTGTGTGGCACGATCCAAAACGGTGTCGTACTTGAAGGAGCGAAGCAACAAGCATACCATCTTCTTCGTTCCTAATTCCTATATCCTACCTCTTCACAGGAGTCAGGTACCCGATACCAACATTACCGGGAAGTCCTCACTCCGGCGATCACCTATCAGATCCCTACGTACGAAGCAGTTTGAGTGTCAAGCCCCAGAACACGAGGATGCTAGCATTGCAACAATCAGATCTGAAATGAACTCAAATTCTCTCTAGTATTGTCAGTTTATTGGTTTTTTTTTATCTGCAAGGGTTAATGGCGACGAGGAATAGGACGATTCTGTACAAGAAGTACAGAGATGCATTTAAGAGCGTGCGAGTTCCTGCTGGATCGTCGCAATTCAGCTCCAGCGGCCGCGGTCCAGTGATTGAATTATCCACGACTTCATTGCTTAATCCGAATCGATCTTACGCTCCTCTCAGCACAGAAGATCCTGGGACTTCCAGGTATGGGAATGATTATTTAACTCATCTATGTAATGCTGCACTAATGGGTTAGCTAGCTGGTTGAACTTTATTCTATTTTAAAGTTTTGTATGATCAGATTCGTCTGTATTAAGCGCTCCTTAGAACCTTACCCACTAGTGTTAATCAAAATTGTTTGTAAAAATTTCTCAGAATCTATGTGTTAATCCTATTATGGTAATATGGGGAAAGGTGATGTTATTGTTTCACACTAGTTCAGGTGTTGATGAGTTTGAGCGATTTAATTGCAATACATGGAGCAACTTAAGAATTGCAATATATTTTATTATAGTATATACTTGCAAGTATGAACATTTAAAAAACATGAGCAATGTGAAGGTAGTAAAAGTTGTATGAAATGTGGGTGTATGCTTCTAGGTACTTGACAAATACTTTCATGAAAGTCTATAATTCATAGTTGTGGTTCAACTGGTCGAAACTCGAGCTACACAACTTTTGAGATACAAAAGCTTCAACCTTAATGAATAAGATGGTGTATGTTGCTTTCCTTATTAAATTTACAGGTAAGAAATTCTTATGAGTGCATTTTTTCATGAAAAAGAATCTCTCGCCATTGAGTTGGAAATTATTTTATCTGTCTTTGAGGAATATGATCAAACTCTCTCAGGTTTAAGTCATCACTAAACACGATAACCAATTTCCCCCTTAAAATCTGCAGAAAAGATTGAACCACAATACCTACCAAATGCTCTGTAACCTTCTCTAGCCTCAATTCTGTATATTGTAAATGAGGCCAGTTCAAGTCATGTTCATATTGCAAAAGCAGGAGGAAGGCAAAAGAAGTCCTATACACCAATTCATGCTAACATTCATCTTAGACAGGGAAATGATCATGCTAAGTTAGAAGTTGTAACTTCCAAACCTCCCTTTTGTGTTTAAAATTACCATAGATAACCATATGAAATTCATCCATAAATTTAAAACTGCTAAAAGAATTCCAGTTTTGAAATTTTGAAGTTTGAACCCTTGGAAATGCCTGGAAATTCAAATAAAAAACTGTGAATGAAACAAAACTGTGCATGATCAGACCCATTTCAGTTGAATCATAGTTCATTTGATCAAACCTTATATGAGCTGGTACCGGATAGTTGCACTAACTAGGATCAGTTCCATATCATAAAATTTCAATTGCTGAACTGGAACAATACCTGAGGGATCCTGGATGGGGACTGGTTCCCTTACCAGAGTCAGACAGCTGCATCCATCGGGCACCTCTTCTTTCCTGTCTCTGCTCCAATCATTTCCAGTTAAATTTAACTCAATACAAGAGTCTATATGGTTTTATTGTACTCATATAAAGCTTAAATACATGCCTAAACATTTTAAACTTTTCTCGTCTTTAATCCCACACTAGTTGAGATTAAGTTGATGGAAATGATGATGATTCCTCTTTAAATTGCCCAACATGTATTTCTTGTGATGAAACTGAAATTGAAGACCACATGAAGTCTGTTCTCTATGACATGCTGGCCAAAATAGGTACTTTGATGACAATGTTAATCCATTTCTTGAAAGTAGGTAAGAGGTGAATAACCATTTCCATAGTTCAGACAGTTATGGCTTTTGATTTTCTTCTCAAAAGGAACTTCGAAGAAAAATCTGAAAGATAAAATGAGATGCTATAACAGCATAAATATTGCATGAATAGTTTACCACTAAGTATGTTGACAATAATTTGTATTTTGTGCCTGCATTTTTTAAAATCATCAGTGTTGAATTGTGGAAATCTTTATGAAGTAACCTATCGGGGCACAATAAGTTTGTGATGTTACTCTTATAAAGGAGAATATTTTCTTTCAATGGTTCCTACTCTCTCACCTCTTATTAGTTATTACAGTTTTTAACCTGCAAAGGAAGATCCTTCACAATCTTTGATGTAAATGAAAAGCTTTGAGTTATACTTATTTCTTAAGACATTTAGATAACATCCAAACACTAAGAAAAAGATGAATTATTCTGGACATGCCCAGAATTGTAACTTAATAAGACACTAAGAGCAATCTTTCATTTTCATGCCAAATTTGTTTCATACAAGAAAAAAGGATCTGCTAGCTGTTGTTAGGAAAAAGGAGCATCCTGCTGTGTATGTTTAAGTTGTTCGAAGTAATAATTAAATGGAATGAGTTGACAATGACTCACTGATTTATATCATATGGCTAAATCTGTTGCGTGCGGTTCATACATCACACAACTGTTATCACCTTCTTATTTTTCATGTATCTTTTCCTTGATGTATGCATGCAATGAAATCAAATGGTATTTTGATTTCTGATTTACGTGATGTACTGATGTTTTAATACATTGACAAACTGTCTATCACTTGCTTAATTAAAATATTGGTTTTATGAAGTTCTAATAACATAGCTACTTAATCTATTAATAAGACAAAAACTATGCCATTTTATTAAAACTTAAAACTGCAATTAATTTCAATTGGTGTCATCCATAAAATACTTCCAAGGGTGAATAGCAATGCAATTTTTTGAAATTCTTCTTATGAACAACTATTAAATCCAACTTGTTAAACAGATTTTACCTTACGGTCCAGCATTGATTTGTGAAAACACAAGTTATTACAGTGATAGTTTAATACCGAGTGCAAACTAGATAGATATTTCCGCACCCCTATTGTGCTCAGTCTATGTTGATGTAGTGAATGGTAAAAGCTGTTTAGTATCCAATGTTTTGTTCTGCTGCAGTAGTGGCCTGGTTACGGTAGGTCTACCACCTGCGTGGGTGGATGTATCTGAAGAAATAGCAGCTAATGTGCAACAAGTGAGAACAAAAATGGCCGAGCTTGCAAAGGCTCATGCGAAGGCTTTAATGCCATCATTTGGAGATGGTAAAGAGGATCAGCGTCGGATTGAGGGTCTTACTCATCAAATAACTGATCTGTTGAAGACGTCAGAAAAAAGGTTACACAGATTATCTAAAGCAGGGCCCTCTGAGGACTCTAATGTTCGGAAAAATGTGCAGGTTTGTCATTGGTTGTCATCAAATAGCATTTTCTGTGATTTTGTGCTTGCAACAAAAATCATAATGCGCTAAATCTCCTACTTTTTAAGGAGTATCAATTTTTAAAAAATATTAGCAATTTACCTTATAGTGTTAGAGCTTATCACATCTTTTGTGAGGCAAAACTCAAATCATATTTTATCAAGTGCACCTTTCAAAAAAAATATTTTATCAAGTGCATTGTATGATGTCAATTGTCAAGTGAGCCAACAATAATGTTTTGTTTATAAACCATACACAGAGTAGTACTAAAGAGTCAATTATTGACTTTGTACTCTCTACCCTATCAAATTTGGTTGATTAATCTATATGCCATAGCCTAAGGAGATAGTGGTAGTACGTTATCAACCATATTGCACCTAGGCCTGCTTTGTGGTTGTTGGGATGCACAGTCAAATATAATTGTCGGTTACTATCCTGAATGAATTTGAACTTTTTACTTGTAATTATGGACTATACTTGCCAATTTGCCATCATTTCGAAGGTAAGCTAAAGAAGCATCCTGCCACGAATGACTCTTGGTGTTGCAAATAGAACAGAATGTATTCATAGATGAACTTAATAGCTTCTTAGGTTATTAGCGAGCCTGTAGGTTTTATCAAACCAAATAATCATCTCTAATCAAAACCATTGGAAACAAATGTTGTTCTGGTTTAAATCTCTCTCATGGTATGTTCTTTCTTAATACTACGGGGTATATTAAATATTCTTAAGTTTCATCCCCACTTTATGGAACTCTCAGAAGTGTCATCTGATTCACAAGTCCACACAGATAAGCTTGCATGCATGTCAAATTACTAATAGTTAACCTTTTGTATGTTTCCTTACACCGTGTTTACTCTATGGCAGCGTTCTCTCGCGACAGATCTTCAAAACCTTTCAATGGAATTTCGGAAAAAACAGTCGACTTATTTGAAACAACTACGCCAGCAAAAAGAGGTGATGTCTCCAATCATGTTAGGGATGGTAATAAATAGTTCAAATGAGATTTGGGTTTGAGTGATCTGACATCCACAATATATCAAGGCTGGAATTGGTTGTTCAAGATTAACAACCTGCTCTCTCATGTTCAGCGACTTGCATGTGTGATCTAGTAACATGGCTATTGGCTAATCTGTCTTATAGAATTACAAGCTTTTCCTTATGCATTTTCATTTCATGCAGTCTCCAGACGGTGTTGACCTGGAAATGAACTTCAATGAAAGTAACTCTAAAAGGGGGAGTGATGATTTGGATGAATATGTATGTAAATCTATTTCTGATGTCTTTTATAATAGTCGTATCTGATATATGAGTCTTTTATCTAGTGCTTATTTTCCAAAACCTGAACTACTTTCTGCAAATGTTCTTAGGGATTTAATGAGCATCAAATGTCAAAATTAAAGAAAAGCGAGGCATTCACAGCAGAGAGGGAAAGAGAAATACAGCAGGTAATCTTCAAAGTACCTTGCATCTATTGCTAATACTGTTTCCAGCAATGAGATATATATATGTACATACATATTTCTATGGTATGATAGGTTGTAGAATCAGTGAATGAACTTGCGCAAATTATGAAGGACTTGTCAGTTCTGGTGATTGACCAGGTCAGTAGTTAAAGGATATGCCGAATTTGTCATTATTCAGTAGAAGAATGAAAGCCTCTGGGAATTTGTCATAACCAAACCTGTTTTTCTATGCACAGGGTTCTATCGTGGATAGGATAGATCATAACGTTCAAAATGTTGCTGCGACAGTTGAGGACGGTCTCAAACAGTTGCAAAAGGTCTTTCCTTATTCTCCCTTTTTTTCCTTTTCAATAATTGAAGCTCACAAGTAGGCACAACTCAGAACACATTATTGAAATGCATTTTCCCCCCTCATTTTAGTCACTTAAATGAACATTTGTGTTGGGGTGAATTTGGGTGCAGGCCGAGAGAACACAGAAGAAGGGCGGGATGGTCATGTGTGCCACGGTGCTAGTCATCATGTGCTTCGTAATGCTAGTTCTTTTAATTTTGAAGACAATACTTTTCTGATCTTTTAAAAATCAAGTCTTTTCTATTCTTACACCCTCCCTCCCTTTGCATCATCTTGTACCACACCACAGAATTTCCCTACTTAACGTCGGGCCAATAGAAAAACTTGGAACCTTTTGAGCTGCTTCTGTTTTTTTACATTTGCCCTCTTCAAACCAGTTATTTATCCCCCCCCACCCCGCTCTCTCGTTTGGGGGGGTGGGGGTGGGGGGGTCGGGGGGAAGGTCTTGTGCTAATGAGGTAATTGATACAGCTCAAGGTACCGTTTGTATAGGCATGATAATATATATTTATTACATTGATTCTTTTTATCTTGTTGCACACTTAAGAGAAGATGAGATCACATTATGTGCATTTGCTTTTCTGCATAAGTTATTGCAATATTTTTGCATAATTTAAAATGGAAACAAAATTGAACTCGAGTTATGTTCTTCCCGTCACGAAATAAGAGTAACACGTTCTTTTTTAGATTGTTAAAAAAATTATACTTTATTTTTGTTGTTGTTAAAGAAAGACAGTTTCTTACAATATATTTTTCTCCTGGATGAATTTTAGTTTTACACTTGTTATTTATAACTTTTTTCTTAAATTTCATGAGGTTACAACCTTATAAATACTTTTATTTTGGGAAGGAGTGAGTATGTTAAAAAAAATATGGCAATTGACCTAGAAGAAACTTGATCTCTCGGGAAGAGTAGTTACCCTGTATATTGAATGGGAAATATTACTCCGTAATATTATAAAAACTTGTTCTCAAATTGCTTCAATTTAAAGCTTTTTAGTTATAGTTTTTCCGGATAAAAAAATCTCTTCTAACAAGTTAATTATCAATATTTCTAAATCTCCTTTAAAAAATCAATATTTCTAAATCTAAGTTATAAAGGCCATAAAGAATTTTGATTTTGAATCTTTAGAAGCCAATTAGAATTTGCAAAAAAGAAATTATAGACCAAGATGAACATCATAGTCATATAAAACAATACTTTGATCTTATACAGAGTATAATGCTATATTTGAATAATAATGATATTCCTTTTCCCATAAATAAATTTTAGTTTAGGATTTACAATTTTTTTACTGAAATTGTTTTCAAATAAATTTATTTTAATATTTACATAAAATTTAAAAATAAAACTACACAATTAAAAGAACTACGAGTCAAAATAAAATACTCCCAGGTTCAGGGTTCGAATCCTATTTGACCCTCAAGGACAAAGGCAAACGTTGTGTTGAACCGTCTTGAACCGGGCAATGGGGAATTTGACTTTGACCAGGCTTTTTGCTTCTTTCTCTTTGGATACGCCCGTTGTTGCCGTCTCTCTCTCCGCCGTCGCCGGTTTGCTGCCGCCCAACCCCAATTTTCGCCTCTATTTCTTCTCTCTCAACTGGTTAAGGTTAGCATTACTAATATTCTTTTTATCATTATCAGCATTACTGGTGTTGTTGGTGAATGTCTGATGGAAGATTGGCGGTAATGGTTGAATATTTAGGGATGTCTGATGGCAGATTTTGACTGGGGCGGACCAAAAAGAAAAGTTTGTTGTTTATTTTGGGACAGGAGTATTTAAATTCATTTTTAGCTTAAATTGCTTGTTGTTTACAATTGTGTCTTGTCTTTCTAAGTTTTGGTTTCGAATTTCATCAAAGGGTGTCCTATGTTAAACAGAAATGTCTTCCAATCATTTGATGAAATGTCTGAATGTATGAAGAAATCATATAAAATGAGTTGTGATTCTAGTGAAGCACTTATTATTATTAGTATTCAATTTTCCCAAGAACTTTTATTTTGGAAATACATGTGGCACATTCTCTATTTAGTAAGTACTGATTTCCCTATCCCTCAATGGCTTCTTCTTGTTTCAGTTTGTTATTGCCGGGTTTGAGCTGAGCTCTCTCCGAACACCATTATCTTCCCTTTTGAAGAACATGAGGGAGCTTGTGACAATACAAGCCGGAAGTTTTGCAAACTTCATTGGTTCTCACTTTTGGAACTTCCAGGTTCTTTTTTCTCTTTCTGTGTTTTAATATTCCTTCAACAACAATATGCTAATTAAGCACAAATTTGTGCATCCATTTCCTTCTGAATAACTTTTTATTTATGTGCATCTTAAATTTTCAAATAAAAAGTTTAAATGAAAACTGAAACTCATTATAGTTCAGAAATATTCTGTTCTAATGTTTGTTGAGATGCAACAACAACAACCAACCTTGTAAAATTCCACGAGTTTGGTTTGTGGGTGGTGTACGTAGACCCTTACTCCTGCCTAGAAAAGGTAGAGAGGTTGGTTTTGAAAGAGTGTCAGTCAAGCACAACAGACACAAGTTAGTCAGTTCAACTTGTATGCAAACAAGTGGGGAGAAAATTAGAAAAGTTTATGAAAGCCTTAAAACATCTTAACTACCTCAATACCTCTGAATGCCTACACACGATGAACCAATCCAATCTTGTTTATGCCTACCCTACCACTTTAATCTTCAATTTCTAAGTGCTTATATATAAGGTCATATACTCGTTGAGCTTCTAAACCCGCAAGTCTTGTCTTAACACCTTGTTTCAACTCTTTTTCAGTACCTACACACTTCTTCAAATTCTCTATCTCTAGCATCACGCACCTCTTTATGATACTCACCATTTGCACGTGTCTGTCTCAATCTATCTTTGCCCATCCCATTCTCCACAGATGCTACTCTCCCCTTGTCCAGATATCCTCGTTCTCAGTTCTATCTATCCTCGTACTATATCTACCTCAGGATTCTCAAATCTGTCACTCAAATCTTCTGCATGTCTGTGTTCTTCACAGCCCAACGCTCTCCCCATACAATACAACCCATCTAAAAAATGCTTGACATAACTAGCACTGAGGTACTGACACACTCTTTTCGCTCAAAAAGTTATTAAGGTCCGTTTGGTACTTTGGTGAGTGCATGAGATATGAGTTCTGATATCTCCCGGGTGTAGAATCCATTTTTGGGTTATGATATTCCGGGTTTAGAATCCATTTTTGGGTGTTTGTTGAAGCCTAAATATGGTTTTGGATTTGACATCTCGATATCATAACCCTCCCAAATAGGGGTGTTATGATATATCCCAGTTTTGGAAGATATCACTCGAGGAATGTTGATATCTTCCTCAAAAGCTAGCCACCGCCACCGGCCACCCATCATCGTCAGCCTCCATGGCTGGCTACTCCTATTTATCACTAACAACCAAATGAGATCTCTTACCTCTCTTCATTTTTTATTTTAGAACCCATGCCATCCCTTTCAGATTTCGTGAATTTTAGCCACCTTTGTGGTTGCTGTTGGATTTGTTTTCTTGAGATTGAGATAACTTTCATTAGTTTATGCTTTCAGGCCGTGGGTTTGTTGACATTGTGATTGTGAACTATCTCTTATGTTGAGTGTGTGTCGTTTGCTTGTCACTAGAATGGTTTCTGGTGTATTTTCATATACTTTTTCTTAATAATGAAGGATGAATTGCATGGATTGGCTGATAGTGCTGAGAGCAATGAAGTATTTAAGAATCATTCTCTTAACTCAGACGTGCTCTATAGGAGTGGTGAAACACAGCAGGTGGTCCAGGATGTCAAACTTTGTGACACGTTTTAGCTTTTAAGACCTTATTCCTTTCGTTTAAAAGTTATTTTCTTGCACATTGCAGGGCCTCGTTACCTACACTCCACGATTGGTTTCAGTTGACTTTCAAGGTGATCATTCCTCATATAATTTTTGTTTTATTTGGATGCTAAAATTTGAAGTTTATTGAATTATACTCCTCCAGTCTTTACTATAAGACTTCTTTAGGGTCAACAATCACTTTCATAAGGCATCACGTTTTCCTATGAAACATTTGTTTTTTTCTTGTTTTCCTTGATAAATTGTTTTTTTCTTGTTTTCCTTAATAAATATTGTATTCTTGATTATTTTCTTAAAGTAATCATGTATGAGGAAAACATACATCCCATATTTAAGATCTCACCCTCCTATGCATAAGTCTCAGTCACACAGTTTTACCTTTTCTAAAACTCTGTGAAACAGCAAATGAAGCCTTAAATATGGAGGAGAGGGAGTAATATTTATAAGAACTTAAGGAAATTAACTACATCTCTCGTTTTGTGAAATTTGGTCGATTGTGCCTTATCACAGGATCTAGAGCAACATACATTTTTATTTACTACTATGTAAAAGATTGTTGCTCCCACAGTCCTAAAATTTTATTTTCGTTTTCCTTTATGGGTTATTCTTAAATTTTCTTTTTATTTTTTTTGAGATTGATATTGTTTACATCATTTCTAAATAACTTGCATCCACACAAGTTCATTTTCTAAATAAGTGTCAAGTCAAAACTCAAAACAAAAAACAAAATTTTAGGATGGGGGGAGTATTTTCTATCCAATTTCCTTGTCATATTTTATGCTTTAACTTGAATTGTCTCCGTTACGTGCAAAACCTGATTTGTGAATACTTTTGGTTTGAATTATTTTAACTTTTTTAGCCTGTGAAGTTACAATTGACTTTTACTTTATGTTATTTTCTACTCCTACTAATAATATGTGCCATCGACGGTTACTCCATGACTCACTTTATAAGGGGCAACAATTTTGACTTTAGATCTAATGTAGCTACTTTTTTGAATTTGTAACTTGTCAGGGTCTCTGGGAACTATGAGTTCACGTGGAACTTTGTACCATGAATCTCAAAGTTTAGATGTTTTAACATGGTGAGAGTTTTTATACTTTAGCCTTTCTTGTTTATTCAGTGATAATATTAAAAGGCTTCAACTCAATTAATTGCTGGACAATTGAGTAACACATGGTGTCCATGGGTTCCATGCATTCTTAATCTTGACGTTTGCCACGGAGTATAGATTGGATGTGTTTTGCTCTTCCTTGGGTACTGATTTTTCTGAAAATATATATTAAATAGGAAATTAGTGCATTTTTATGAGTGGGATTATAAAATTAGATTTTAGTATATGCTTGGACATGTAGTCTGCAACCAATAGCTTCAAATTGTTGTGTCGTTGTTGTTTTAAGTTGTAATTCCAATGTACTTTAAAATTGAACATCTCTAGTCAATAAGCAGGGAGGGTGAAGTTACAACTCAGGCTAGTGACCCTTTGAAAAAGAATCTCTTCCTACAAAGCTTATACATGGAAGAAAAGAACACAAAAATGACAAACAACAATGATGGCAATGAAAGTAGCTCCCACTCTGAATTCCAGGACAATGACATTGTTGAATGCTTAGAGAATGGGGTCCAGTACTGGACTGACTTCTCAAAAGTTCACTATCATCCCCAGAGTTTGTATGAATTAAGTGGTCTCTGGATGGATTCTCAAGATTTTGATAATTATGGCATTGGGAGGGATATGTTCTACACACATCAACGAGGTGAAGAAATAAATGAAAGGCTTCGTTTCTTCATCGAAGAGTGTGATCATATTCAGGTATTTCACAATTTTATGTGTTCTCTTGGAGACTTTTTAACTGCTATTACTGTGAATTAATGAGTGTTCCAATTTGGCAACTTCATTTGGTTGTCAAATGCTTTGCCTGTAAAATATCTGTTTTCTGTTTATTCCTATTTTCATAAATAGAAGCAGAATGACTTGTCCTTCAGCTATTCTCTGTCACCACCTTGATAATTGAGCATCACTCATATGCTTTATCACATGAAGTTTATTGTCAAATCTTCTCATTTCACATCTTTCTTTGTGCACAAAGACAATTGACAAGAGTACTAAAATCTCCTAAACTGGTATCTAAGCATTTTTTTTCTTTGATGCAGCACATGCTTTTAATCCAGGCCTTTATGCTTTAATTAAATTCCTTATTTCCTAATGCATTACTTCACTTAATATAATCACTTTATTCTTGTGGTAGACCACTGAATTCCAAATTTTAAATTGATCAATGATTTAAACTTTGCTGTGATATTGGGGAGTGCACCAAACAACCAGAAAAGTTGTTCCTTGGGTCATTATTCAATTAATAATTCATGTGCATGTGGGCTTCATCAATTAAGGGGATAAATTTAAATAGAATCGGAGTATCTCCTTGAATTTGCTGGTTATTTATTGTGGTAAGGATTTAAACTTTGATGTGATGGGGATGCACCAAATAACCAGACAATTGTTCTGTGTAATTTTGTCATTATATACGTAATAGTTCAAAATTCATGTGCATGTGGGCACTGCATGTTACTGATGTTATTTACAGTAATTACAAAAGAAACCCTCCCATGTATTTCATCAATTAAGGTGATGGTTCTATAGAGAATCGGAACATCACAATAAATTTACAGGTTCTATGTAGTGGTCAAATGAGAGCTTCTAGAATGTATTATATTATTGGGTTCCTTACTTCCTTTTCATCATTTTCATTAATGAATTCCAAGACAAACTACAGAATAGCTTGTACGTATTCTAGTGTTGTATGAATGCATATTATCATTCTGCTTTTGGATATGCTTCTCTCGCCAGGGGATACAATTCATAGCTGATGACTCTGGAGGGTTTTCTGGAGTAGCAGCAGAATTTTTGGAGAGCATTGCTGATGACTATAGTAACATCCCCGTGTTACTGTATACTGTACGCAGTCCTGGATCCTTTATGAATATGAAAAGCCATAAGTTAAACATCTCAAGAAGTCTTCATGATGCAGTTTCATTTGCAAGACTATCATCCTTATGTAAATTGATTGTTCCAGTTGGCCTGCCTTCATTAAGCAGAAGTACGAACTGGAGATTCTCAATAACTAAAGAACATTTTATGCTTTAGTTAGTTAATTAATTAATTAATTACTTATTTATTTATTTATTTATTTATTTATCATTTATTTATTTATTTATTTATTTATTTGTGCTTGAACTTAAATTACAAGTACAATTTTGCATAAGTTGTTTTTTTATGTAGAGTTTTAGTTGTTGACTGGTTGTAATAGATCTTTAGTTTGCCATTGTTCATTGGCTAAAGTTTGAGAAACTTAACAGGTTAGTTTTAATGTCAGTTAGTAATTAAACGAAACATACCCAGTATATCCCACTCAAGATTAGGTTTGGGCAAGGCAAAATATAAGCCAACCTTCCTCTATCCAAAGTAGTATAGAGGCTGTTTATGAGAGGACCCCGACAAAGTAATGTAATGTGAGTGAAAGAAAAAGATTTAATTTTGTAGCTTCAAGCAGATAGATTGGTTCCTCTTCTCAATCTACCGTATTATCTTATTTTTTTTCCTTCTATTTATGATGGTATTTTGCTTATATATCTAGGTAGAGCATCCACGCTCCTCAGCATTAAAGATGAGCAGCCTTATTACACCGGTGCTGTTTATGCATCTGCATTGCACTCTTTGAGTCTTCCATTTAGAATCCAACATCCAGAGCCTACATCAGACCCGCTTTATGCTTGTGGTGCAGTAGACATGTATGAAGTCATACACATGTTAGCAGACCAATCTAGACAGAATATGGTTTCTACATTAGATGTTTCTATGCCAGCTCCTTCATTAACTGGTAATGTTTTTGTACTTGTACTTTTAATTATTAGTAGATAATAATTCCTTGCTGAGTTTCATGGTTTTAATTTGTTACATCTGTAGGGAATCCGAGTCAGTGGTCTTTGTTTGAGAATTTTATACCCTTGACCCCAGAGGTAGCAAAAGATATTGAAGACCTTCATGTCATAGAATGCATGACAGTTCATGGAGTCCTAGGATCAGGTATTTTATTATATATCTTATGCTTCTAATGCCGTTTATGAATTTAAAATATGAAGTGAGCTTTCATTTATCCATGTTGGAGGCTCATATATTCCTTTCCTTTTGAAAGTTTTCTTTTTAGCACATTATATGTCGTTTGTTCCATTAGACTTCCTAACCTCAGTTTGACCAAAACTTGTGAGACACATGGTGAGACTGGTTTAAAATGTAATCATTTAAAAGTTGAAAGCAATACGTACTGAAAATGTGTTTTTGAAGGGCCTGAAGTACCTGTTATCGTTTCTTTTTTCTTCTTCCTGTTTTTCACACTAAAAACACGATAATGAAAACCGGCAAACATTATTCAGTATTTTGTTGGCAGTTTTCAATCTTAACACGATCAGTGCAAGTATGCCTAGTTTTCAATTCATTATACAACTTATATCATATACTCCATCCGTCCTACAATTTTTGTCCTCTTTACTTGTCCCACTATTCTTGTCCTTTTCTGATACCCTTTTTGTCTGTGTCCCGCCATTTCTGTCTAATGCAATATTTGGTAACGCTTATGATTTATAGTAATAGTTTTTTGTTAGCATTGATGTTCTGGTGTGATTAATATTCCTAATAACACTATTACACTCCCTCCATCCAAGTTGTTCTTCCCGTTTTGACTTGGCACGGTTTTAATGTAAGATAAAAATTGCGGGCCCTTTCAGTTTCCTGCTCATCCGTCTGGCTGTGAGTTTCATAACTGTCGGTGGGTTGAGTCCGTTGAAAAGGAGTGCATTAAACAATCCCCAATCCCATGAAACTCAATAAAATACCCCCACAAGGAAGCTTTATTTTTAATTTAGGATAATAAGATCTAAAAGCTTCACTTTCCAGCTTGTGTTCCCCAACAAAGAAGCTTGGTTATGAAACTCAATAAAATGACAGGCGAAGGGTGACAAAGAAATATGATCTGGAGATGAAGCGTGGTTCTTAATTTTAAAAAAAACAAGAATTACTTGTTTGGGTTTTAATTTAGAAACAAGTTCTGAAAACGAGAAGATTTAAGATTAGAATGGAGGTGGAGCTTTGCCTCCGCCCTTCGCTGCTGCCCCCTAGTCGCCGTCTGTCACCTTTCTCCAAAGATCCATTCAAAGGAAGATGATAAAGGAGGAGGAAACGGTAAAAAAAGGAGGATGGAAATTGTAGAGGAGGCAATGAAAACGAAAAAGATAAAGGGGGAGGCGTTGACTTGGTCAGGCGGGGTCGACTCGGTCTGGGTCGGCAAACATAAAGAAGAAAAAGGAAGAAGGGTATTTTTGGTATAATGTATTTGCTAAACAAGGAAAAGAGAAGAAAGATATGGTACCACAATACAACCCAAAAAGGAAAATTGAAAGAAAGATATGAGACGAATGGAGTAATAGTTAAGGACTCTATTTAGGTATTCATTACTCACCAAGAGTGTTCTTAGTAAAGTATAAATTAGGTTTTAGTTCATTACTAATGTCATACAAGCTTAATTTGCATAAACTTTGACAAGCTCGAGTCTTTATAGGGAGGGCATAGTTGTCATAATGCCAAGGGGAGGCACGGTGCTAGTTTACTGTCAAGAGCCTAGGATGCCAAGGCGACTAGTAATAGATGAAAATCGTTGTACATTAGTAACACTAATATAAATATATTTCGGAGTATGTAATATATTTTACAGCATAAACATTAAAGTTCAAATTCAACGAAGTTTGATATCTATATGAAACCAAATATGTAACGAAGTCTCAAAAACCATCAAGAAAGCTAGCACCAAAAATAGTGTCATTGCTCGCATTACCATCGGGAGTAAATGGTGGCTTTCCAAAGTCATCTTCATCATTATGTGGAAAAAGTTTGTACTTCATCTTGTGATTCTTGATCAATCAATCTTGCTTTTTTGGTGTTGTCTACATCATCATATATGAGAACTTGTACCTTGAGTAGTATGTAATGTTAACTATTGGACGATTATAGACACTTGAGAATATGTTGTGCAAAAAAAGTCTTTTCCGAAAGGTCGCCAAACACTGGAAAGTATTTTGAAAATTTTATTATTCTTTCGAAAAAACTTTTTCCTTGCATTTCCTCGGGACCAAACACTGCCGAGGAGAACAAAAATCTCATATATCACCAACTGGTAACTTTGATTTTTCAGGAAACCGCAGGGTACCAGTATCTGAAGTGAAGGATGCAGTTCAGGATTCTTATGAGAGCACAACGCTTTCAGCAAGACCTAAATTCACGCACCTATCAGCGACCCGTTGTCCTCTTCCCATACCATTGCCTTTTCCCACTCTCTTTGGGAACGCCATCGGCCAGAATGGGGAAATATTAGAAACCCCTCTTCGTGACACCCGGCCAAGGGGGTCCCTTGATGTCCACTCCATTCCCATGGCAGCAAGACTGCGTTCCACCACTGCCGTTTTACCGTTTCTGGAAACGAGACTTGAAAATCTCCGGAAGCTTGGTATCCGGCAAGGAGGAATTGGGGTGCCTGTTCTTGAGAGTTGGGGTTTTGGGAGAGAAGAGGTTGAAGACTTGGGAGAGAAACTCTCACACATGGTTAATACACTCAATCCTCACTCTGACCTCTCCTCTGATTCTGATTGAGTCCTTTCTTGTATTCTATGGAGTAAATTATATGTAGTAGCATTTCTAAAATGGAATGGGAAAGGATTAGTTCTCATGAAGATGCTTGTTTAATACAAAAGGGAGAGAATATTTGATTTTGTGTTGTATAGTTTGATAGTTCATGCTTCATCTCGTAAATAATTTCGGGCTTGTTCTCTTCAACTTATCTGAGTGGTTCTGATCTTATTCGATTAAGTTTGGATCTGATCTGATTGTAGTTATATTTAAAACGATTTTTAGTATTTTAAACTATTTTAAGAATAAGTAAAAAGAATAAGTTAATAAACTCTTCATAGTTTGATTTTATGGAGTTTAGTGAGAGTATCAAAAAAAGAGGTGATTAGATTTTGTTTCAACTGAAATATTTGAGTTAAAATATTTTTTCTTACAATAAAATATATTTTAGAACATATGATAAAGAAATGAAAAGATTGCCAAAAAAAAATTGATAAAGAGGACAAATTTATTTTAATGGGAACCTTAGATTTACGGTGCACATGCACGGATGGATTTGGTAATCAATGTTTATTGTAGAGAATCTGGAGATGTGTACTTTTCATTTTTAAAATAAAAAAGTGAAAAAACAATTATTATTTTTTTGAGAATGTTCACAAGTTCACGTAGTGGACTTGTGGTTCGAGTGCGGAGATCGAGCATGAACGCGGTAGGTGGTGACCGATCATGTTTTTGAGACATGGCCGAAGGTTCGTGGTTAGGTCACGCTACCACCATCAAATCCAAGTATCATCTGCACGGGACTCACACCCATCATTCAGAAGATCATTGTACAAAACTCCTTTGGTATCACACTAGATTTGTAGTCAATCAATATATTTTGATTGCGCAATGATGGATGTTGTCTCCCTGTTTGTCTTTAAATGAGTAGCTTCCATGCGCTTACTTACTCCTCTGCTCTATAAATAGTCTTTGATAGAGAGCGGAGAGACGTTCAATTCTATGCCTACAAAATTGAGTACACTCTATAGAGAGTATAAGAAATATATTCAGACTTGGGAGACTTACCCTGATGTCAAAGTCGTACTTTGTATGTCTTTTACTTTTCTCGTTTACTGTTTACTTACTTAGTTAAGTTTTCTTAGCCCGACTGGTTACTTATTTACTTTATCTGGTAAAATTTACACCATCTGTAAGAAAAAACTTCTTTTTTTAAAGAGGATCAATTATATAGTTCACTCATCTTTTATTTATATTGATGAATAAATTGTCCCCTTAATGAACATGGATTAAGTCAATAGCAAATTGGGACAGAGTATTTTTAAAGCTTTACTATATATTTTTATAAAAATTTGTGGAGTCAAATTGCAAATTTTATTTTGGGACCAAAAAATCACCTTTCTCTCTTGTTCGTACAAAAAAAAATGTATGCATATATACACAATTATTACAGTTTCTTTTGAAAAACAAATATATAATTTTGCCAAGTGGCATAAATGTGACCTAGATGACAAGTCAAATGTTCAAATTCCAATGGGAGTATTGACTTTTTGTATTTAAATAACTTGAGAAAGTATGTATGAACAAATATTAAATTTTTACTCATAATAGAGTTAATTGTACGAGAAAAGGAATATGCGATTAAAGACAACAAATTTGGAAATTTGATTTCGTAAATAATAACGTTAAAAAATCGATAGTTTATTTAAAAGCATGTGAAATGTTGACTCCATTTTTTAACCTTTGACTCCAGATTATACTTCCTCCACACAACAATAAAGTTCGTATCACGATTCACAAAGTCAAATTTTATTCACTTTGTTGACCTATTTTCATGTTCTATTTGATAAAATAATATTGCCATGTCAACTCTAGTATTGTAGATCTTTTGGTGTAGTTTTTAAATATGTAATTTTTATTTTTTAATTACACACTTTGTATCATTTTTCATATAAAATGATCTAAAAAATAACTTTAGTCAAACATCGTAACGCACAATGAGAACTTTATTTATGGACGGAGGGAGTATATAGTAAGTGTGCATTTTATGGTAATACATAAATGCAATTTATTATTATACATATAATGAAAAAGAGAAAAGAACAATGCTATGTTTACAAACAAAATAGTCATAACCATATAACGAAAAAGAGGAGCAATGCTAGGTTCACAAACAAAATAGTCACCAACTTACCATTTGTGGTTTAAATTCCCATTTTAAAATTATTTTAGACTATTTAATTTTTTTATATTAACGTTCACAAATAGTAAGTTTGTGAGGTTTGTGGCCGTTTTGTTTGTGAACCTAGCATTTCTCAAGAGAAAATATTAGAGTCATAATAATATTATATTTTTTATTCCTTAACATAAATAATATATAAATGGTAGTATTTTGTGCACCATAATGGTAATATATAAATGGTAACTTATATTATAATATTCTTTATTAATTATGTGAATAAGGAAAAAGAGGAAATCTAATTTTGAGTTTATAATATAAATGTTTTTATTTTTTCCTAACATTAGCATTGCATATTTCACTCTGGTAAAGATAAAATTTTTATGCTCAAGGAAAAATAGATTTATGAAGTATTAAATTCAAAGTTCAACGCAATATCCAATATTAATATACAAACAAAACTTTTTTAAATTTAAAGGAAAATAAAAAACAGTTAATGGGACGAAAATATTAAGTGGGGTATTAATAATAATAATGATAATTATTATTAATATCATTACCATAAAAAGGTGGAACATTTATAAGAAAAGGTGGACTGTTAATAATAATAGGTAGATTATTAATAAAATTATTATTATTTTAGTTAAATTTCTATATTTTTTTTAAATTCAAAGAAATTCAAAAAAAAGTTAATGGACAAAAGTATGAATTAGGGTATTAGTGATTTTATTATTATTATTATTATTATTATTATTATTATTATCATCATCATCATCATCATTATTATTACAAGAAAAGGTGTAGGATTGATAATAGAAGGCAGAGTATTAATAATAATAGGTGGAGTACTAATAATTATCATCATTATTAGGTGGAGTATTATTATTATTATTATCATCATCATCATCATCATTATTATTACAAGAAAAGGTGTAGGATTGATAATAGAAGGCAGAGTATTAATAATAATAGGTGGAGTATTAATAATTAAAATTTTATTGCTATAATTTTAGTTAATATTAGATACTCCCTCAATTTTTATTTAATTGTCCATTTTCCTTTGCATGTCAAACGTTTGACTAACTATATAAAAATACACAACGAATTAAAATATAAACATTATGCAAAATTACCGTTATCAAAAAATACTTTAAATGTATAATTTTAATTTTTTTTGCTACTATATTTTACGAGATATTGTTAATCAAACTTTAAGTTTGAAAAACAAACCCAACACTTAAATAGGAATAGAGGGAGTATAACTTTTAATTTAAAAATCATATAAATATAAAAAAATGGGATGAGAAATAAAAAAAGCCTTGATTTCTACGGAGTGAATATTTACAATTAGGTTAATCGTATATAAATACTTTAAGTAAGTGCATCCAAGAATCTAGAATCGGCTATTCCAATTTTATAGCCTAGGACATGTGTGTTCACGTGCGCGCACACACACACAGATACATACATACACACATACATACATACATACATACATATGTGTATACATACATACATACATATCTATACATCTATACATTATTTAAAAAGACATGAATTTTTTCCCGCTCATGCATGAGACTCATATATGGAAAGTGTTAACAACATAAATGGTAGTTTAATTATTTTACCTTAATGTTTTCTTTCCATTTTAAGTATGTTTTCATTATTATTTTTATTTAAATGTTACACCATTTAAGCATTTAAATTAAATTAAATTAAATAGTAGTGAACCATTGGGGAATTGAAGTATGAAAATAAATTACACTACCATTTAAATATTAAAATAAAATTTAAAAATTACAAATTAATAAAGTATGGGCAGGATTAAAATGATATATTTCAAACAAAATACAAATTAATTATTTATCATTAAAAAATATTATAATCTACAAGCACAAACGCGTAAAAATGGCAAGTTTTCTAAATTAGATTAGAAAATAAATATGGTACGGTAAGTAGATGATAACATTTAAATAAAAGAATAAAATAAAAAACTACAAATTAATATTAATACTATAATTTAAAAGAATGAAAACGTTTTAAAAATGACAAATTTTCTAATTAGAAAATTAGAAAATAAATAGATATGGTATAGTAAGCAATTAGCACCATTTAAAAACGAAAATAAAGTAAATGGTAAGTTTTCTTAAATAAATTAGGTTAGTGTTCTAAAATAAAAGAGAAAATAAAATACTCCATCCGTTCCCAATTTGATTACAAATTGCGCGTTACGGAGTAAAATTTCTTACTTTTTGAAATCATTTTATTTACAAATTGATATATCAATAAGATATAAAAATAGAAATCACCCTAAATAGGACTAAAACATAGAGAAAAATACTAAAATAGGACTTTCATTTTTTTTTTCCCGAAATAAGATTTTGCACTGTGGTAATGTGACTTTGTCCTGTGGTAATGTGACAGTGTACATGTGCAAATTACTATACTTTTTTGGTAATGTATATGATTATGTATGGTAATGTAAGTCCTATTTCGGGAATAAAAACATGGAAGTCCTATTTTGGTATTTTTTCAATGTTTTAGTTCTACTTTGGTCTTTCTCCCATATAAAAATTACATATTAAACAACTACATCAAAAGTTCTACAAAATAAGAAGTGATAAGAATATTTTATTTTATCAAATACTTAATGAAATCGCGTAAATAAACAAAAGTTATCGAGAGGAGAGAAAAAAAATTGTACTTAATTAGTACGATTTAAATACGAAAATAAAACAAAAAACTGCAAAATTAATATTAATACTATACTTTAAAAACATGATTTTTTTAAAAGGTAAGTATTCAAATTAGAAAATTAGAAAATAAATATGGAATGGTATGTCACCGCGATAAGCAAATGGTACCATTTAAACACAAAATAAAATCAATAGTAAGTGTTCTAAAATAAATTAGTTAAGTGTTCTAAATAAATTAGAAAATAAAATAATTATTAAAACGATAAGTATTCTAAAATATATTAGAAAATAGATACGGTACGGTAAATAAATGATACCATTTAAATAAAAAAAATAAAATAGAAAACTAAAAAATAATACTATAAATTAATACTACAATTTACAAGCATGGTAACATGTAAAAATGATAAGTGTTATTAAAATAAATTAAAAAATAAATATGGTACATTATGCAAATGGTACCATTTAAATGCAAAAATTAAAAAATTAAAAAATTAATACTATTAATACTATAAGAATGGAAACATGTAACAATGGTATAAGTATTCTAAAATAAATACTATTAGTACTATAATTTACAAGTATGGATACGTGTAAAAATGGTAAGTGATCTATTTATTTTATCTTTTATTTATGGTATCCCATTCAATTACCATGGTGAATTTATGCTTTTATTTTAATTTTTTATGTTTAAGGTTTTATTTATGTGATTATACAACTTAATAATGAATCTATTCAGTTTAATAACTTAATAATAGTTCTTGTTATAGACTTTGTATAACAATTATTGTTACGGAAACTGGTATTTAGTCATGAGAAAGTGTATGTTGCAGTTTAAAGAGTAATAAATCACAATGGCTGGAAGATTCTGATATACAACGAAGTGAATGCTCACACAAATTATACATACGAGTGATGTAGTTTATAAAGAAGTCTTTCGAAATTTGTAAATCATTTTATTTTTGTACTTTAAAACAATGAAATCTCTATATTCCATTATATACCAATTTATATTTCTAAAAATGATCTTAAGTTAGTACCGTAACTATGACCCGTGCAACGCACGGGTGTGATACTAGTATACACACACACACATATACATACATACATATATATACACATATATATGTGTGTGTGTGTGTGTGCGCGCGCGCGCACGTGAACACGCATGTCCTAAGCTATAAAATTGGAATAGTCGATTCTAGATTCTTGGATGCATTTACTTATTTTTTAATACTCATTAATCATCATATTTATATACGATTAACCTAATTGTAAATATTCACTTCGTAGAAATCAAGGCTTTTTTTACTTTTCATTTTTATATTTATATGATTTTTAAATTAAAAGTTATACTCCATCCATTCCTAGTTTTTCAAACTTAAAGTCTGATTAACAATATCTCTTAAAGTATAGTAACAAAAAAATATTTAAAATAATACATTTAAAGTATTTTTTGATAACAATAATTTGGCATAGTGTTTATATTTTAATTCGTTGTGTATTTTTTCAGAGGAAAAATTTAATTCGTTGTGTATTGCCCAATATTCTAACCTAATGAGTGAAAATTAAATATTCGGAGGAATAACATTTGTATATGGTGGAGATTTTCGTTAAATATTGCTAGTAATTCCATAATCAACGAAACAAGATATTATTAATTCCTGATTAATTCTTCCTACATTTACATACATTGCACCGTATTACTTTTAACAAAAAACACGAGGTTGCAATCAATGATTCATGAGTATCAATGTAGTTTATAAAGTTTTCCAAAAATTTTAATTCATCTGATATTAATGCTTTACAACTTTATATTTCATAATGCAATCCGTTTATATTCTTCAACAATGACACCAATATACGGAGTAATTTTAAGAGTAAATTCCCAGAATGGTCCTTTGTAATAAGATATTTTCCCAATTTAATTCTCAATAAGTTATAATTACCTGCATGGTCCTCTATAATTGAGATTTATTTCCAAGATAGTCCTTCGTAAATAATATTACTCAAATGATGATTAATTGGGATGATATTTCGGTATTTTGATTATCCAAATTTAAAGTATATTCTTAAAACAGTTATTTCTGTACAACTAAATGGAAAATTAAAAAAATACATTGACTATAAATAATTCATGAATTATTTAAAACTTACAAAAAATCTTTTAAATTTCAAATCAAATACACATCTTTAATTAGAAAAAATCATTTTGGGAAAGCACTTCATTATAAATGATCATTTTAAGAATTAATTCTAAATTTAGTGGATAAAAAATCAAAATACCCTCAATTAATCCTCATTTGAGTAACATTTTGACCATCTTGAGAATAAATCTCAATTATAGAGGACCACGTAGATAATTAAAATTTATTAAAGACTGATTTGGGAAAACACCTTATTACAAAAGACTATTTTGGGAATTTACTCTAATTTTAAAACGTAAATATGAGCCATGTAACGCACGTGTGCGATACTAGTTTAATGAGACGGAAGGAGCATGTTTGTCTAATTTTTAAAAAAACAAAAAAATAAAAATAAGAATAATGTTTTTATGAGTGGACACAAAATGAAAAATCTAACGGTAATGCGGTTTCAATTATGGATTGCAACGAGGCAGCAGAAAGAGGTCTGGCGTCGTTAGGCATTGGCTCCATTTGACATCACCGTTAGCTATTAGCGTTAGCGTTTTGAAAAGGCTATTCGACGGTAGCCTTTAAAGTTAGCGTTTTCAGAATTAATCTACACCATTAAAATTTTATCCAAAACACTAATACTAATCGAAAACGCTATTCCCAAACAAAGCTATTACCAATCCATAATTTTCAAAATTGGTCCCCAAACTGTAAATATCTTCCGATCCGTGCCCGGTTTCAAAACCCTGCCCCCATCTATCCACCTATATAGTGCCCTCTTCACTTGTCGTCCAATTCCGTTCAAAAAAAAAACCTAAACGGCTAAACCTTTCATCCGCCATTTCATCTCACTTTTGGGGGAGATACTGACCGATCGAAGGTTCTGCAACCCGTCTTCCCGGATCTGCGTATTCTCGGTTCCGTACTGCTCTTCGGAGATGTCTTTGAGGCCGAACTCCAGAGTCGAGGTTCGCCGGAACCGGTATAAGGTTGCCGTGGACGCGGATGAGGGTCGCCGTAGGAGGGAGGACACCATGGTGGAGATTCGTAAGAATCGGAGGGAGGAGTCCTTGCAGAAGAAGCGCCGGGAAGGTCTTCAAGCCAACCAGCAGTTTGATCTTTCAAGCCAGTCGGAAAAGAAGGTGGGTAACAGAAGAAAATTGATCTCAATTCTCATCCTTAGCGTTAGATTTCGTATCTGTATTGCTTACTTTCTTCATTCATAGTAGTTTAGTTTTGAGCTTGAGAGGATTGGCTAGTTATTGATTTGAAAATTTTGGTATTATTGGGGTAAAAATTTGATTTTCAAAGAGAAGAGTAGATTTCTGTTTGAGTGTGCTTTCACCTTACAATTAGCAAATAAACTTACTTACTATTTAATAATTTGTCAAGGTTCTAATGTTTGCATGTTCATTTTATAGTCCATTAGCTGAATACACTAGTATTTTATTTTATGAACCTTGAATATTTGAATGGCACAATCTAGTGGACGTCTTTTATTTAATTGGCATGACCTTGTAAATGTGTTTGTCCACAGCTGGATGCTCTGCCATCAATGGTAGCCGGTGTTTTTACTGAGGATGGCACTGTGCAACTTGAGGCAACAACTCAGTTTCGAAAAATACTCTCAATAGGTGACTAATGTTTGATGCTTTTGGTATCATCTATCTGTTTGCCCCATTAGATTGTTTCATTTTTTTTTATATGGGTTGTTTTCATGCCTTGATTAGAAAGGAGTCCTCCAATTGATGAAGTCATTCAAGCGGGTGTTGTCCCTCGGTTGGTTCACTTTCTGGCAAGGGATGACTTTCCACAGCTTCAGGTATATAAATTTTCCTCTATAGTCACTCATCTTGGGTGTTTTAGTGCATCCTTAATTATTCAACTAAGGATTTGTTTCTTATGTTTGGTTTGATTTCATAAAATCACCCCAGTTTGAGGCAGCATGGGCGCTCACAAATATTGCCTCTGGAACATCTGAGCACACTAAGGTGGTTATTGATTCTGGAGCAGTCCCAATCTTCGTGAGGCTTCTTAGTTCTCCTAGTGATGATGTTCGTGAACAGGTGTGTGGCATGGAAGGGAATATATTATTTTCATATACTGATGCTCATTTTTAGCCTTGCTCATTGGTTGTGTGCTTCTTGTGATATGTTCCTGGTTCACTGATAAAATTGAGTCTGTTTGTTGGTGTGTTAAGGCTGTATGGGCTTTGGGAAATGTAGCTGGTGATTCCCCCAAATGTAGGGATCTTGTCATAGGCTTTGGTGCTCTAACTCCTTTGATGGCTCAGTTGAATGCCAATGCCAAGCTGTCTATGCTGAGAAATGCTACCTGGACACTCTCAAATTTCTGCAGGGGCAAGCCACAGCCCCCATTTGAACAGGTTAATCCCTGTCATAGCTCTTTTTTTTCAGGCCTTTTGATACCTGGTGTAATTTTAAACTTTGTATCAGATGAGCATAGTGAATTTTGGTTTCTGTTTTGTTAAAAATGCTGTTTGCCTGTTGTTTTTATGATTTCTCTTTACTGGGGGTTTCACTTCTTGATGCTTATATTACAACAAGAACTTGATAATTTCTTCATTTGTCCAACTTGCATGTCTGCTTAAAATCCATTATTGATCACATTGTTGGTTTTATTAATTAAAATGACTTCATTATCTCTAGTTTGGTCATCTCTTTTGTCTTTCAATGTAATTAATGATGTCTTGATAATATTGACAATTGTATTATTTTTAATGGCATATTTGTCTTTATTTTGGTCATCACTGCATTGGCAAGCATCGCTTTTTGGAGTGTCTTCTATCCAGTTCTCAAAAAAGGATCTTCAGACTGAACATTTTCTCTGTAGTTTTATTAACATCGGATGATGCTATACATTTTCAGATGTCTTATGTATTGGTATTATATATATTGTGTTTCTGTACAGACCAGTCCAGCACTTCCAGTTCTTCAGCAGCTTATATATTCAACTGATGAGGAGGTTATTACAGACGCATGCTGGGCTCTATCCTATCTTTCTGACGGTACAAATGATAAAATTCAAGCTGTCATTGATTCTGGAGTGTGTCCACGTCTGGTGGAGCTTTTACAGTGAGTGTTCTGCCTTCCAGTCCTTAGCATATTAGTGAAACTGTTTTCCCCAAGATGTTAGTTTCTTGCATATTATATGTGGCTAACCTGTGGGGGTTCTCATGTTTGATTTGCAGGCATCCTTCCCCTTCAGTTATAATCCCTGCATTACGTGCAGTTGGGAATATTGTCACCGGTGATGACGATCAAACTCAGGTATTACATGATATGGGTTTGCAAAATATCGAATTTTGATTCTATGATGATTATGAATGCCAATCGAACACTTATGCTATGTCCAGTGTATCATTGAGCACCGTGGGCTATATTGCCTTGCATCATTGTTAGTGGGTAGTTTCAAGAAAAGTATTAAGAAAGAAGCCTGCTGGACAATCTCGAACATCACAGCTGGAAACAAGGATCAAATCCAGGCAAGCAATTGAACATTTCAATCTCTTCGAGTTTTCCCTTGCAATTTCTATTCAAAACTATGCTTACGCTTTACTAACTTAATCTCGTATGTTTTGCAGGCTGTGATAGAAGGTAATATAATTGCACCACTTGTTACTTTGCTTCAAGAAGGGGAGTTCGATATAAAAAAGGAAGCTGCGTGGGCAATCTCAAATGCCACATCTGGTGGTAGTCATGATCAGATCAAGTACGTCTGCTCAAATTTGGCCTTTTATACATCCATTTTGCTTATATCATATGACTACAAAACATAGATGTGTGTGATTTTGCTCCGGAAAATAGCCGTGGTTGTTTTTGTTATAATTTTGTTAATGAGTAAATTCCATATATGATCCCCAACTACGGGTAGTTTTCCACATTTAGTCCCCAGTTCTAAGATGTTACATAAATGGTCCTCAATATTTGAAAATTATTCCATAAATGGTCTTTTAGGACAAATATGTCAAAGCATTTTTTCCACATTTAGTCTTTGAAGCATCGGTAATGGAATAGTTTTCCAAGATTGGGGACCATTTATGTAATACTCATATCTTAGAATTGGGAATTAAATATGGAAAATCACATATAATTATAATTAGGGATCATTTAGGGAATTTACTCTTTTACTATTGTATGATTGATCATTGTTATTCTAAACATGTAACAAATAGGTACCTTGTAAGTCAAGGATGCATCAAGCCATTGTGTGATCTCCTTGTTTGTCCTGACCCAAGAATCGTCACCGTCTGTCTGGAAGGACTTGAGAATATCTTGAAGGTCGGGGAAGCCGAGAAGAACATGGGTCTGACAGGGGATGCCAACGACTACGCCCAGATGATCGATGACTGTGAAGGTTTGGAAAAAATAGAGAACCTTCAGAGCCACGACAACCAAGAAATATATGAGAAGGCGGTGAAGATTCTAGAGACTTACTGGCTGGAGGATGAGGACATGCCACCTGGTGATACGCCCGGACAGGCGGGGTTCCAGTTTGGTTCCAATGGTGATGTTGCCGTGCCCTCCGGTGGTTTCAACTTCAAGTGACCGGTGTTTTATTTTTTTGGTCTTGTTCTCAGATCTAGAGAACAAACATGGGCTGCTTGCTGCTATGGTGATCAACTGAAAAATATTCAGTTTATTATTACAACTATTCAAGTATACTTTTTTTTAAAAAATATTTATTCACTACATTTCTTCTGTTGTATTGCTGGAAATTTTGACAATCTGAGAGTCTATATTTCCCCAGCTTTGTACTTAAACTTTAAATGTGGGAAAGGGATTCACCTTTTCTTTTCTTTTCTATTTTTTTTAAAATCTGTTATTGTAATGACTACTTGCTTCATTTCAATGTGATATTGAGGGAATTTGACAACAATGATTTCAAGATTTTTGCTAACACTCATGGCTTAGAGCACTGGAAATACGTATGAAGCCCCGGGGCTTCAAACGGGGGCTTCAAATTTTCTCTCTGCCACGTCAGCTTTATCTTACATCAAAAATTCATTGGAAATGGTTATGAAGTCCTGGGGCTTCAAACCTTCATTTTTTACATTTTTAAATATATATCTTCTAAATTTAAATTAATTTATTATTTAAATTAATCGCAATGAAACTAGTGCATTAAAAAATTGCATTCATTAAAAAAAATCTTACATTCATAAAAAACTTTCAGAAAAAAGTTACATTCATTAAAAAAATATTACATAAAAAAAATAACAGTACAAAAAAATTACTAATTATTCGAACGACTAAAGATATGTTCGATCAAATCCGCCGTTAGTGCATTGTGAATCTCTCGGCTTCGAATTTCTTGGCGGTTGCGTCGTTTCTTTTCTTCGGTGATTTCTTCGTACATATGCACCTCCTCGTCCGGGATGTATTGACAAATCGCAGTCCCGTTATTCTCTATGATCATATTATGAAGAATAATACATGCGTAGATGATATTCCTCATTTTTGTTTGAGAATAACATTTCGACGGACGATCTAGAACGTGTCATTTACTCTTCAAGACCCCAAAGGCTCGTTCAATATCTTTTCTTGCCGCCTCTTGAGCTTTTTTGTAGGTCTAGCGTTTAAGACTCATTGGTTCGGAGAGGGATTTGACAATCGTGGAATAATCTGGATATATTCCCTCGGCCAAATAATATCCACGCTTGTAAAGCGTCCCTCTAAGCTCAAAAGAGGAGTCCGATGCGGTCTCATTAACCCAATCGTCAAAAACAGGCGATTGATCGAGAACGTTGATGTCGTTGTTTGAGCCCGCGACACCGAAAAAAGCATGCCAAATCCACAAGTCATTCGAAGCAACAGCTTCGAGCATGATGGTAGGCTTGGGATGATCTTCCTGGGAGAATTGACCGTGCCACGCAGTGGGACAATTTTTCCATTCCCAATGCGTGCAATCAATACTCCCAAGCATGCCGACAAAGCCGTGTTTAGCAGCATGCCTTGCCTGCAACTGCTGGATGTCGCTCGCTGTAGTCTTGCGTAAATATCTTTTATGATAAATTTGAATAATAGCTTTTGAAAATTTATAAACAAAGGACCTGATGCTCCGAGCCGACATCTTCAAGTATTCGTCGAACATATCGGATGTCGTCCCGTACACCAACTGACGGAGCGCGGCAGTGCACTTCTAGACGTTACTAAACCCGCGTCGGCCTCTCGCATCAAACCGTTGGGTAAACCAAGGAACCTCGCGTTCAACATCAACGAGTATGCGTAAGAAGAGAGGACGACTCATCCGAAAACGATTACTAAAATCCTCCGGCGTATAAACACACGGATTATTAAAGTAGTCGTTTAGAAGTGAAGCGTGGGCGGCCGCTTGATCTCGGTTTAGACATTGGCGTCGGGTCCGTCGTCGGGAGGATTCGGCTTCTTCTTGGCCATCTTCCCACCATTGAATACAATTCGTCGCGAAACAACGAAAAAAAGCTCTTCTTTCATCGTCGGAAGATGAACCCATTTTTAAAATATATTTTATAAATATTTATAATAAATAATAAATATTTTAGAGAGAATATAAAGATAGATGTGTGAGAGAGATGTATGAGAAAGGGGATTTTATAAGGTTTTTTTAAATTTAGAATTTTTTTAATTGGGGGGGGGGTAACGGCTATATAGCCGTTGGAAAAGGAGGGGGAGCGACTGAAAAAACGAAACAACGCCACGTCAAACAAATGACGCAGGTATACTCACGCCCCGTTAACGCCAGAGGGGGGCGATGTTTCACTCCCCCGGGGCGTTAAACGCCCCTTAACGCCGGCGGGCGTGAAGAGTATACCGAGTGGCCTTACTCTTCCGTTTTTCATGTCCACACACCTCTTCCCAAGATGGCAAAGCCAAGCACGTGATTAGGAGACTCAATAGCATCATGCGAGATCTCCTAATCCCCACCCACCTTCCACCAACTTCTCATATATTGGAAACATTAATAATATTGTTAATCTCCAAGCATTTAAAATATAAGTTTCGTAACATGATAAAAATAGTTTTCAGAGTTATAATTAAAAACGTTACGGAAGCTAAAATGAAAGTCAACAGAAATACAAACGTGGGTTCAAGCCACAAAAAAGTACTTAGAGTTCAATGGGAAATAACAAGATAATAAAAGCAACCCGGCACCATGCCGCTATCTCCTCCGTCCCAGCGTGGCTCCATTAATTTTCTTACCTACGCATAGTCACACAACAAAACAAACTGTACGCTCAACTAAACTGTTGAGTTGTATCACAATGTAGATTTCAAATAATAAATTGTACACACATAATCACATATATGATTGCACCAAGGTTCCCATGCCGGGCAATGTCATGGGATGACCCGAGGGTGTTACAGTGCTCCGTTAGTAAAATTGACAGTTCCTACCCCCGGTAAACCCCCCCACCCTGCCCCGACCTGAACACAACCCCCACCCCCTTCAATTGCACCCCACAAGTTGATTTTGACTTTCGAGTCAAATTTTGACTCCAAAGTCAAAATCAACTTGTGGGGTGCAATTGAAGGGGGTGGGGGGTGTGTTCGGGTCGGGGCGGGGTGGGGGGGTTTACCAGGAGGGTTAGAGGGGGTAGGAACCGTAGCCTAATTAATACGTACAACGGTCTGTAGCTCAGGAGAAATGGGAACGTAGCCTATTCCGTGATGATGTGCGGGGTTTGCTATCTGTCTTCGACCGCGGAGGTAATACTACTGGCGATACTCAGGTGTGGCATCGATCATCCCAAATTCCATCGGTACATGTGCAACGTAACGTCCCTCCCATACATCTAAATAATGTCTCTCACTGTCACCAAGCTCCATAGTGTTTGACTTAATGCTATGTAGGTGCCGATCATACGCAACATCTTGAGGAATGCGTTGGAGGGCACCAAACTGTCTGCAAAACCGATCCGGAAAGTACATCTCCACAACATGCCCGTAGATCAAAGGGATGCGTGATATCCATATTTGGAGTCCGGCTGAACAAAAGGGTGGTAGGGTATCGAGATTCGGATACGTCATCCAAACAAACTGCATACATAAAGAAGTAATACGATAGACATTTAAAATAAAATATGTATGCATTACATTGTGATGTGAATAGTACTTACCTCTCCCTCGAGCAACCTATCTAACTGGTCCCTGTATGCTCGTAAGGAGTGTGTCGTACAATCTGACCGCCACTGATAACACACCCATCTACAAGTGAAGGATTAAACATTAACATGAATAAAATAAATTGAGTGAGTGGATGATAAACATAAATAAATTGTAAATACCTGACTCCGTATGGGACATTAACCAGCTGCTCCAATGGTACAACGCCCCTAGGTGTAGTCATAGGGAGACACGTTCCCAAGCCCAAAGCTGTAACAGGATAAGACACCCTCCAATCTGTGCTACATGTGTCATTCTAGCACGAGACATACTACGATACAAGAAACTAAGAATTGCAGCACCATTGGCACGACCCCGCACCACCACAGAGTCACCCATGATTACCTCCAATAGATACAAGCTAACCTTATTTCCTGACATGTTAGGAAATAAGCTACCACCCAACAACTAAAACATAATAGCTCTAGCATGTTGTAGGTAATCAACATCTACACTATGATCTGTCAACGCCTTCGGAACAATTGCAGATATCTTAATCATAGAAGACATAATATCAGATGCTTCAAGTCTAAATCCCATCATGTCGTCACATATCTGAATCCACTGATCCTTTGATCGACCAGTGATCCCTGCCAATGGAATGCCATCTACAGGCAATCCAATCAAAACCTCAACATCTTGCAGCGTAATTCCGACCTCTCCAAAGAGAAGATGGAATGAATGGGTCTCGAGTCTTCATCTCTCCACTAAAGAAGTAATCAAAGCCCAATCCAACTGTAATCCACCAACTTTCTTCACCTCATAAAATCCATAATCTTGTAAAATCTCAATCACACGGGGTGGTCTATTAGCAACAAGAGTCTTTGTATATAAACTAGAACAAGTCCTATGACACTTTAAGATCACTTTTGCATATTCTTCGCTCGCCCATACCGCATCACACTTATGTTCTCCGGGTGCAAGAACTAAAATGTCTCGTGAAATAGGTCCCGGATGAACACCCATTTGCTTCAAAGATTAAAACATAATAATTTATTCATTTAATAACAATTCATTTGATTCAAACATTACAACATAACAATTTATTCATTTAATAAAAGCACAACAAGACAATTATAATAAAAAAACATAAACTAACTAATTATGTTAAAAATTATCTTACAATCTCATTATAAAAAACATTTCCAAATTTTAATCAATATATAAAGAATCAAATTCCAAATCTTTAAAAGTAAATAATATATAACAATTAGAATAAAAAATTTCATGAACTTGGTATAGATCCTATATAATTTCTGAGATAATAGATTTATGAATATCAAATTTCTACATTTTATGATATATATCTCAATGTTATCATAAAATGATAAATGTTTATATAAATTAAGTCAAAAATATAAAATACCTCCATTAAACGGAGTAGGGTAGTCTGATCTTGAAATTAGGGTGTCGGCGTAGGAGATAGGGTGGATGGGGGTGCGCTGAGATGAGATAAGATCTTGAAACTTTTAGGAGACGGACTACACTACTCGTATGACTTAAATATTGGGCTGGAACGGAGTTAGGTATATTTCGTATGAATTTAATTTTAAATAAATAAAATAGACACGGAGTTCACTACTCCGTTTGGATAATTAATTCAACTAGAAACGGAGTTACTAACTCCGTATAGCACTGCAGGGAAAATTTCCCCTGACATACATTGTCAAAAACACAATATTTTTTTACATATATCGGTCATTTGCTCTGTTAATGTCTCCATTTATCTTTAACTTCAAGATCTCATTTTGATTTTCATTTCAAGCATCTCCATTCACATGAAGGGGTATCAAAGTTACTCCTATAAAAAAAGAAGAAGAAATAAAAAAAAAATCCAAAATTAATACTCCGTATAAAAAAATTAGAGGCAAAGAATATCTCCTTGTCGTGAAACATTGGTGGTTGAATGATGGCAACTTCATAGCTTTGCTTTGCTGTTCATTTCTCCCAAATTTAATGATGCGGTTGAAAAGATATACCATTTTAAATACTTGAGCCCCTAATTTAGTTATAAATTGAGATTTACGAGACAAATTTTTTTACTTTTTTGAAATCATTTTATTTACAAATTGATACATCAATAAAAATAAAATTACATTTTAAAAAATTGCATCAAAAATTCTTTAAAACAATAAGTGACAATAATATTTTATTTTACATCAATGAAAGACACTTCAAAGTTCAAAGACTCGATCAACAAGTTTGGTGCTATCATTGACCACGCTGATGATATTTCTTCCATGCTTCAAAGTTGGCTGATAGAAGGGTTTTGGGAATAATTGAGATTATTCATTATATATATATATATATATATATATATATATTGTTACAATTTTTGTACGGATTACAACGGACGGAGAAGATGAACGGCCTCGGAAAATAAAAAATAAATAAAATTCTGAATTTATAACTTATTCAGAATATTACAAGATAAACAGAATTGAAAATAAATTTATATATATATCTTCAAAAGCCTTATTGTATGAGGACATTAAGCACTGAACATCGAGGACATTATGCACTGGACATCAAATACATTATGCACTGGGCTGCGAGGACATTATGCACTAGGGCAGAATGCAGCAAGGTCTTTATGAACTAAACCTGCAAAACAAAACATCGTGGAAGGACAGCGGAGTCGCTGGAGCTGTCCTTAAGATAGTAGTGCCCGCCTACCGTACCGGAAAAACGTGGGCACTCTCTTCCCAGAATAAAACCGCTATCGTGTGTGGAGATGTATGGACCAACCACACACCAATGAACAAAAACAACGTAGGAACGTTGGTGACCAAAAAACTTTGAAGGGAATTGCCGGAAATTTGGCCGGAAAACCAAGAGCTCTCTCAAAAAAATAAACAAGAAAGATTTTCTTTCTTTTTCTTTTTGTTTCTCACGTGAAGCACCACCAAGAAAGAAGAGCCTCTTGATTTGATTTTATAACTAAGAAATTGAAAAGTGTAACTTACACAATTTATTCTTAGTATTAAACGATGACATTTGTGGCACACTAATAGTGTGTTAATGGTGATTAATTAGCCATTAACACGTCCGTTACGCTACGCTCCGTTTAAAATTGGTCCCGAATAATTGGAGATTAATGGCCAGTTAACTCCGTAAAAATGGACTAATTTTAAACAATACGTAAAATTAATAAAAGAAGATTGGTTCAGTAAAATTGTAAAAATTGCAATCCTCACCATATTCTTTTATTAACGGGTTAACTCTGAGAATCAATTTCTCATTCACCCTCTACCATTTTTGGCGTAATATTTGTCAAAACATTTATCTCATTTAAGAGAAAACACGTCCATTAATTAACGGTTAAAACCGTTAGTGGACCTATTGACAAATATACCCTAGTTGGTCCATTTGATGCCTATTAAAAATGCCAAAAATTCCAACACACACACACACACACATACACACACACACATATATATATATATATATTGGTTCAGGTGAGAATGCGATTTTATGAAAGAAATAAGAATGAATCTGGTACTTTAGATTGTGAGATCTAAGAGTCAAGATTACATCAAAATTAGGTGTACTAAAATGATTTGAAAATGTGTCATGTCAAAATGCACCAAAATCTTGTGAAAATGCAGTATCTCAAAATCTGAGTTCATGATGCAATCTGAGCCACACGATGCATATATATTAATGTAACTTTCATTGTTTAATAAGACCAATTATTATCAAATTGTATCATGATATTAGAGTTAATGTTTCTCTTTAAAAAAACCCGGCCTCCCTCCTTTTACGACCGTGCGCCACTGCCGGTCTTCGTCATTGACGGTTGATCCTCACAAATATAATGGCTTCATCGTACCTTATCTCTCTTATTCTCTCCAAAAAATAATGAGTGTTCCTAACACCCGTCATTCCTTATCTCTCTTTCCAAAAAAAAATTTATGTGCGCGTGTGAACGAAGAATGAACTAGAAAGCTACATTTGTGAGTGTTTCTTCTAGAGTTCGAGAGAATGAAAAACGATAGAGAAACTGAAAGAATTATTTGGGAGGAAATTCTCTGTATATTGAATTGTCTTGTAAAATTCTGGTCTTGAATACAAAGATCTAACCCTCTTTATATAGGAAGAGGGTAAAGTAAACAAGGAAATTCCTATTCCTACTAAAATAAGAATTAAACAAACTAGGAAAGATAGTAAATACTAAACATAATCCAACTAGGAAAGATACTAAACTTAATCCCAAAGGGATTCAGTTTCCTTCTTCAATCTCGCTTCATTCATCCCCCCTCAAGCTGGAGCATGGGAGTTCAACATGCACAGCTTGGACATAAAAAAATGTTCCCTCGATTCACGCATCAGTGCAAGCTTCTCTGGCAGGTCCCACGTGCAATTCCTACACGTACAAATTGGGAACTACTCCAAACCTGCAAGAAACGTTTCCTCGGTTCGCGCATCTGCGCAAGCTTCTCAAGCAGGTCCCACATGCAATTCCTACACGTACAAATTGGGAACTGCTCCAAACCACAGAAACTAAGCAACGACCGATGGACGCGATGCCGGGAGATCGTGAATAGTAACCGCGATCAAGAGAAACTGCCGTCGGGACGGTCGACCCACTCGACCGTTCTTCAACAACGGTCGACCCACTCGACCGTTCTTCAGCAACGGTCGACCGTTCTGGCACTTCAGCAGCAACAACAGGCGACGATCGATGGACGCGATGTCGGTCAATCGGGAATAGTAGACGCGGAAAGAGTTGTTTGTCTTCGTAGAACAACCCTTGTCCGACCACTTCTTCAAGAATGAGGGAGGACAATAAATAAAAAATAAAAAAAACACAATATCCCGCCGGTAGGCATTGAATTGTGTATGCCCACTGGCAGGAGAAGAAGCGTGTTTGAGGTCTCAAGAATTCAAAACTTGCTCTGATACCATGAAAGAATTATTTGGGAGGAAATTCTCTGTATATTGAATTGTCTTGTAAAATTCTGGTCTTGAATACAAAGATCTAACCCTCTTTATATAGGAAGAGGGTAAAGTAAACAAGGAAATTCCTATTCCTACTAAAATAAGAATTAAACAAACTAGGAAAGATACTAAATACTAAACATAATCCAACTAGGAAAGATACTAAACCTAATCCCAAAGGGATTCAGTTTCCTTCTTCAATCTCGCTTCCTTCAGAAACAAAGAATGATCCACAAGGAGAATAAAACTTCTCGCTCTCACTCCACTCGGCAACACTCTCTCCAGAAAAAACTCAGCAAACGTACTCTCAAGCTCATTTTTCATGCAATGAAGATCTGTCTCTGTACTTTTAACGGCTATCCTCACAAAACTGCTTTCGCCGACTCCCTTCAAGTACATGTGTTCCAAACTGCTCCTCGTTACCGATTATCAGGTTTCAAACGTCCCAAAAAAGTATTGTCAGCCTACTTCATGACTACGTTTTACTTTTTCATTTGTTTATCTTTTATTTAATTTCCTTTTTCAATTCTTTATTTTCTTTCTATTTTGAAAAAATATGAAGTTTTTTAACTTTAGATAGATGAATTCGAAGTATATATATAATATTTTTTGTACTTTTTTTATTTTTAATTTTAAACACAAACAATTTTGAAATAAAGAATGATTTTTTAGGCAATAAAGAATGATTTTAAAAAGAAATTAAAATATAAAAATAGGATAGTGGACATACTCTAATACCCATGTGGTTGGGAAAAAAAGTTATCATTGTCCCTCTAATACCCATGTGGTGCCTGAGCAATATTTTAAAAGTATACAAATTTTAGAAATAATTTTTTTTTAAAAAAATATTTGTACCTGTTTTTCAAGGGGTACTAAACTATTTGGTGTATATAGGGAGAAACTTATAAAGAACACCAAGGTTCCCATAACATTGGGAACTAATGTTATAGGATGACTCAAAGGTGTTCCGGTGTCCCGTTCGTAAAATTGACGGTTCATACCCTCACCCCCACACCCCACCCCGATTCGAACACACCCCCACCCCTTTAAATTGCACCACACAAATTGAATTTGACTTTGGAATCAAAATAAGAAACGTAAAAGAAGAAAAGCTTACGTGATTCTTCATCCCTAAGTTTGGTACACACTATCTTTAAAACTTTTTAAACTCTTTTTCAAAGCTTACGTGATTATTAAAGCATGCTCTATTGGTCACGGAATCTATGCATATATGGTTCCCGGATTTAATGCTTTTATTTGTTTTTTTGGACAAAATTGTTAGATAATACTCCCTCCGTCCTAAAACTTTCCTCTCGTTGCACAAAATGAATAAAAATCTTAAGTTTTTTCAATCTATTTTATTTAAATATTGGTATAAAAATAAAAAATAAAACATACATACTTCTTCCGTCCCACTGTCTTTGTCCACTTACCTTTTGGCACACCATCCAATGCACTTCTTTAATACATTTTATCTTGTAATTAGTATATTAAAATATTATAGAAATTATATATTAATAATCTATATGTTAAGACAAATCAAACAAGATCACACATGACTATATTTAGGCTTACACATTGAGAGAATTTGATGAGTCAAAGTGCTTAGATGAACAGTTCCAAAAGTCAAAAGTGGACAAAAATAGTGGGACGGAGAGAGTATTTAAAAACTACATCAAAAATTCAACAAAACAAGTGGTGACAAGAATATTCTATTTTATCATATATGCCATGAAAAAACACAAATAAATATAAATTCTCGTGAAGTTGGAATAGTGCTCTGGGAAGAAAGTTTTAGGATGGAGGGAGTAATATTAAATACTCCCTCCGTCTACAGATAAACTTTCCGTTGCGCGTTACAATGTTTGACAGATGTTATTTTCAAATCATTTTATATGAAAAATGGTGTAAAATCTAAAAATAAAAATTACTTATCAAAAAACTATATCAAAAGATTTACAAAACTAGAGGTGACATGACTATATTATTTTATCAAATATGTGACAAAAATAGGCCAACAAAATGAATAAAGTTTGACCCTGTGAAGAGTGAACAAGAAGTTTATTTGTGGATGGAGGGAGTATATTTATTTGACAAATTTTTCTGTGGTCCTAAGGTCTATGCTTATTTTATGGATTTTAGAACATTGAAATTGTAAAAAGTTATGTCTTTTGCGAAAAAGAAAAGATCTTCTTGTTAGCTCATTAAAAGTGCGAGAAAATCCACATTTTACATGCGAACCTTAAGACTACGGAAGAATAACTCTTCTTATTTATGGTAGATGTTGTATATAAGTTAGTTTCTATTTTCAAATTTTGGTTATGTTAGGAATCTCTCTCTATCTCTCTCATACACACACACACACACACATATATCTATACACACACACACACATATGGATTGCCTCTAGTGAGATGACATGCTTCGGTGAAATGACACCAAGCTCCCCACATTACACTACAAAGCACCTGGAAATAAAGCAAAGCTCATCACTTTAAACACCAAAACTCACCTTTTTTTTAATTTTGAAATTTTAAAAAATTAATTAAAAATAAAATAGCAACACCGGTTAGCAGCGGCGTCCGACGACCGGCATCAAGAGCAGCGGCGCCGGCCGGCAGAGGCTACCGGAGCAGCGGCGGCGATGAAGCAGTGGCGGCAGCAACATGCGGTGATCAGAAGTTCTGTCAACGGTCAACATCTAGTCAGCACCTCTTCCTTTGATTTTTTTTTTTCAAAAAAATTCAAAGTGTTAAAAAAGTATGGTGAGCTTTATTTTAGAGTTTGGTGAGCTTTGTAATTGTCCTAGGTGAGCTTTGTAGTGGCCAGTGGTAAGCTTTGCCTCATCTGACCGTAGCATGTCAGATCACCGTAAGATGTCATCTGACTGGAGTCAATCATATATATACATACATACATACATACATACATACATACATACATACATACATACATATATATATATATATATATATATATATATATATATATATATATATATATATATATATATAGACACACACACACAATTGTAAGATGACACTGGTGAGATGACACCTTATTGTAAGATGACACGTTTCAGTCAGATGACGCTGGAGCTCATCATTGATCACTACAAAGCTCACCACTGATCACCGCAAAACTCACCACTGTCCACTGCAAAGCTCACCATGATTTTCCATTACTTTAATTTTTTTTCAAAATTTGATGGTTGAATGCTCACAAAGCACAACAACAAAGCTCACTGACTCTCATTGCAAAGCTCACCGAATATGTGCACAAAGCTCACCACACTTTTAAGTTTAAACTGACCCATGGTGCTGACTTCCAACCGCTACAGACTACCACCGTGGACCGGTGATTGACTAGTAGTGTTATTTTATTAGCTTTTTTTTAAAAAATAGTGGTGAGCTTTGCATTGTTCCTAGGTGAGTTTTCTATTGTCACTTGGTGAGCTTTGCATTGACACTTGGTGAGCTTTACACTTTGACCACCCATGACCACTGGCCACCACCGATGACCCCCACTGTCGCCGTGGACCGGTGGTTGAGCGGTGGTTGACTGGTGGTTGAATGGTAGTGCTATTTTTTTAACTGTTTTTATTTTTAAAAAAGTGGTGAGGTTTGCATTGTTCTTTAGTGAGCTTTGCATTGGCAGTTGGTGAGCTTTGTATTGACAGTTGGTGAGCTTTACACTTTTGACCACCCATGACCACCAGTGACCACCAATGTCGCCGTGGACCAGTGGTTGAGCGGTGGTGCTATTTTTTTAATTAAAAAAAGTGAGTTTTGTTGTTCAGAGTGATGAGTTTTGTGTTGCGTTTCGGTGAGCTTTGCATTACAGTGTGGTGAGCTTTGTAGATTAGTGTTGTGTGTGATGTGTCATCTGATTGAAGCATGTCATCTTACCATAAGGTGTCATCTCACTAGAGTCAATCCATATATATATATACATATACATACATACATACACACACACACACATATATATGTGTGTGTGTATGCTCTACAATGTAGTTCATAATTATTCAATGAGCAATATTATTATTTTAATATTCTAAAACACTCTACCTTTGCTCATGGCAGGCGGCGTCGCCATTAGCCGCTCGCCACGCCGTTGTCTTCACCTTACTCTGAAAACTTTAACATTCTGCCTAATTTTTTTCGATCCTCTTCAATTTCACATCGACTATAAAATTGATGATGATACCCCTTTCTTAGCCAATTTTTCATTAAAAAAGGTTGCCTCCTAATAATCTCGGGTTGACATGTGTATTGTGTCATGAATGCATCTAGTACCACCAAAATTGATTTTTTGAAAATCTAGTTCTCAACTTGCCTCCGTTTCATGAGCTCTATTCCAAAGTTTGAATTGTAGTCCATTTTTTCCCTCCCAAATCACTTATTTTTAATCAATCTCTCTTCTCTTTCTCTTCTATAAAATCAATAAAAAAAGCCGGGACGGGAAATAGAGAAAGAGGAAGAATACCTCAAACAACTCACGACTCGAAGAAAATCATAAAATATTTTCACAATTGGGAATAAAATAGGGCATTGTCAAGATTCAAGAAAAATGTAAAGAATGTTAAGGATCTTCAGTAAAAAATACACCTTCAGTAGCCTTCTCTTCGATCTTCTTCGACATCAGCAGCTAATAATGCACGTCAGACTTCGCTCTTTTTCTTTGACATTAACAGCTACCAGCACATGTCAGACTTCTCTCTTCTTCTTCGAAATTAGCAGCTACTGACATATGTCAGACTTCTCTCTTATCAAGAGTTATAGTTCCCATCTAGTGTTGGTAGTTGAGTTTAAGCAGAAGTCAACCTTCCCCAAAAGCGTTAATTTTCTCTCAGTGTTGTGTCTCTCCAGGAGTGGACGAAGGGAATTAACAAATTTTCTTAATTAGGCGAAGGTTTGGACAAGACTTGTGCTAGTTTGTGGGCCCAAGGTTTGAGAGTCTTAAGACTTGACTTTGACACAATGTAAAAATTTATTATAAAGTTGTCCTCGCATGATATTCACAAGCTCTAAGTATTTACACAAACACCAACATACAACATAATAACCACGAACTTCTCCCCTGGCTTGAGTGGTAGCAAGCCCACTCCCCAGGATTCATGGAGAAGTTCACCCAGGTTCGAGCCCCAGCGAAGGCAGCAGCATTGGCTTTTTGTGCGTCATTAGCTTGAGAATAGTATGAACAGATACTACCTTGTAATAGAGTCAATAGCATTAAAAAAACATAATAACCACGACTAAACTTATTCACATCAAATACCCGCTAAAGGAAGAGGTCTCAATAAGGTGTTATATTATGACTTTTTAAATAGGTGTAATTTTAACTTGGGCGATTTTTTGCCCCAGCGAAGGTAGCAGCATTGGCTCTTTGTGCGTCATTAGCTTGAGAATAGTATGAACAGATACTACCTTGTAATAGAGTCAATAGCATTAAAAAAAACATAATAACCACGACTAAACTTATTTACATCAAATACCCGCTAAAGGAAGAGGTCTCAATAAGGTGTTATATTATGACTTTTTAAATAGGTGTAATTTTAACTTGGGCGGTTTTTTGGAGGTTGAGATTTATTTCGAATGTACTAATCGATCTTATGCTTTCTCCATTCCTAAAAGAATTTTTGTTTCTTTGAGCAATGTGCAAAACCTTGAAATGATTATATTCACAAATTAGTAAGTAAATAAAAAATAAAATTTATATTTAGTACTAGATCTACAAAAAATTGTGTAAACCTTATGTCCCTTGTGTAACATTTTAAAACTAATTTTTTGGCCCGTATGAGTAGCTTAGTTGGTTTAGGTGGAGGATGTCAAGTCTAAAGATCTTAACATCGAATACCGGCAACAATATTGTGAAAGTATTTGTAATAGCTCTTTGCGTGTACCGGACACGGGACAGCCTCTCTAATTATTAGACTAAGATTATATCATGATTTAACCTCAATCGTGATTCGCCATAGGTTTGTGTGGGCGTCTACCTTTTTCAAAAAGAGTAATGCTAGGGGTATATCAAAATGGAGTACCTATTTGTATACTAGGTAAACACAGACAAAAATTAGTTTTACACCAACATAAAATATCGGTGCAAACCTGCGATTTACAAAAGTTTGGGATACAAATAGCTTTATCCAAAAACTAATACTTCCTCCGTCCTAAAATTAACTTCTCATTTGACTTTTCACGGTCTCCAATGCGACACTTTGACAATCAATATCTCAATTTTTATATAAATATATTTATAAAAAATATTTATTTCAAAACTATGTTACAAAATGAATTTATTGCTAATAAATTTATATGAAAATTCAATATATTTTTTCCGTAATATATGGTCAAAATTTAAAAAGTTTAACTATAAAAGTCAAAGTGAGAAATTAATTTTAGGACGGAGGGAGTACTCCGTATGTTCAAAAAAATATTTGCCAGTTGCCCATCCCATAATATAAATACTCAGGCCGTAGTAACACGTGAACAGGGCAAAGACGAAGTTTGGCCGGGGCGGGTAAGGAGCCAAAACTTTACCGGAAAACAGCAAAAGCTTCTCCTTTTAGCTGGCAATTTCCTGAAACTGATTCCGAATTTCGTTCCAAAATCCGGACGTAGAACAATTTTACTCTGGAATTTCATACACTCCGCACATTCACGTACAGGTAATTAAGTAAATCATGCTCTTAGCCATCACATTGATCCTTCTGTAGAATGAAATTCAATTCTCCTCTTCCATTTTTGTGCAGCTTTTGATTTGCAGAACTTTTGAGTGTGAATTTTAATTCTACACATCAAATATCATAAATTGAAGGCAGAATACATGTTTTTTTTAATTGCAGAAATTGTTTACACTTTTTCTGGTTAGGTGATTTGTTAGGGTGAAGTTGTTCGATTGAATTGTAGGTTATAATTCATCCTTCCGAAGTTTGGTTTGGATTAAAAAGAAAAACATCATTTTCAGAACTTTAATTTATTTTCGGATTTGTAGTGCCTGGTGGTGTGTGTAAATTATAGTACATGAGTATTATGGAGTCTATGCTTTTTCTAGGTCTGGAATCTATGGAGCACTTTTAATTCTTTGCAAAGGAAAAAAGTGGGATACTTTTTTAAGATAGCCCAGATGCAATTTCTCATTTTGTACCTCAATTTATTGTTATTTTATATGTACTCCATTTGCCCCAGATTTAACTTCACACAATTTTTTATTTTTTAAAATAAATTTTAATTTTTTTTACTTTTTTATTAAGAAAATGAATATCTAAATTACATACTCCCTCCGTCCCACTGTCTTTGTCCACTTTTGACTTTTGGAACTGTCCATCTAAGCACTTTGACTCATCAAATTCTCTCAATTTGTAAGCCTAAATATAGTCATGTGTGATCTTGTTTGATTTGTCTTAACATATAAATTATTAATATATAATTTCTATAATTTTTTAATATACAAATTACAAAATAAAATGGATTAAAGAAGTGCATTGGATGGTGTGCCAAAAAGTAAGTGGACAAAGACAGTACGAGTACTTTTATAAGAAAATCTCAACCACTATTTTTTTACTTTTTACCATTATGCACGGATACCGTAAACTTAATTTTTCCATGTGAATATGTGGCTCAAATTTTTTTCTTTATTCTAAAGAAATTTCAACCGCACTGTTTTGTTTTTCAATGTTTTTCTTTAACTGCGTGAAGTCATACCTTAAATTTCATTTTGGAACAAGCTTCAGTTAGTGTAGTTACTTAAAGATGGTCCTTTCCAAGGTATAAAAAATTTTCACATGTTGCTAATTCCTGGTCGTGACTGTTCCATTAATTTTAAGATGCTCAGTAGCAGTTTAGTTTTCTTTTGAATTGAAGTTGTGCTTTTGCATTGGGACCTGTGTATCTTATTTTTATGTGAAATTTTCTCTTATTCGATAGGGAGTATGCTTTGTATTTACACTTTTATAATTGGCTTTGGTTGTCCAATCTTGTTCCTTTCCATTACAATTTCATATTTCCGCCTTTGCTATTTCTCAAAGATTTTGAAACACCTTAAATGCAAGAGAATCATAGAGTCAATATCTGCATTTCTATATTCAGAAAAATGTATGTTTTTTATGCCATTTGGGGTAACTAACAGTATCTTGTGATTCTTACTTAAATGCCAACTTCATTCTAATCTAGCAGCTTATAAGCCTAATAAAGGTGTAACTATTTATGTTTTGTGTTGGTTGGTATATAGGTAGCTCTTTCTTTTGAACTTTTTCTCTTCTGTTTTTCCCCACTTATTTATGCAGAATAGTTTTCTCATCATTAAGATTCAGCATGTGGAAGGACAAGAGAGGCGATTGTCAGATTGACAAGAAAGACCAACCATTGTATTTATCAAAACATTCATTCAATGATCTGTCTCATGTTTGTCCAGTAGTATTTATCTATCTGTTGAAGGAATGCTATGTTCATGGTAAAATCTGATACCTTTCTCTGTGTCTTTTTACTAACCTTCTTTCGCCTAGAATTGTCACGTATACCTTTGTTAGTAATTCATCTCATGAAAATATTGATTCAATGCACTTCTCTATTTCTATGTTTTCGCGTAATGTGTTCTTGAACATAGTGCTGAGTTTTAATATGCAATACGGTATTGAAGGCATCCATTTTCAAACATATTACGATAATGTTGATCCTCTGGGCAATGTTTAGGGATTAGCATATTTTGAAATTTGAAGAGTTTTTCCCGCTTTGTGGGTGAGTCCTGATTTGTATACTCTTTTGCCCTCGTTTGAATTTATTTGGTGATCGAAATGGAATTACTAGGAATTTAATAAAAAAATTTCCTTAATGAAGTTGATTTATTAAATTACCAGGAATCGGGCAAAACCTGTGGTATTCTGGAGGTTGTTATGATGCATTGGTTTTCTGCAATTTAGAAAATCCAGGAGTTAGGGAATTCTCGGGGCTTCCAATTCCAAATGTAGTCATAAGATCCAAATCATCTAATTTGTCGGAATTGGCTGCCTATCAGAATGAGATTGTTATGTAATTCTATTAGCACACAATCTGTTTACCATTGTTCTAGTTCTCACTGCACTATGAGAAGGTCACTCATGTTGTGATCTACAATTGTTAGTTTTCCTCATAAAGGCTTTTCTTGTTTCATAGGAACACGCAAATCGTCTCCTAAGTTTCGAGCTCTACAACAAGTATTAGTTCAAGGTTTTCAAAATGGTCCTCAACCTGGGCCAGCTGTTTTTGCTGCACAGTGCTTCTATGTTTTGCCAATAATTAATGTATACCTTCAAGGTTTCTCTCATCTTATTATATCTTCCTTTGAGCGTTTTCTGAAAATGGAAAGTACCCAAACAAACATCTTTGATGCAAAGATTTGGTCGGCCAAATTGTTTGTCAACATTGCTCGCTGCAGGCTGAATTATGACGAAAAGATTCTTGTCAAGATTGTTGATGTTTTTAAAGTGGACCTTTCAAACATCGGGAAAGCCATATGTGGCTCACATGTAAACAGTGAGATTGGACGGCAAACAGCTGAAATATTTGTTCAGCAATATATCTTAAAGTTGATAGAGCGCAGCTCATATACATCTGCAGTTTTTCTTCTAGAGCACTTCTCCATCCGGGAGCTAGAGGATTCTTTTCTACTTAGACTCATGGATAGTAAAGAATACAAAGCAGCAGAAAGATGGGCAACATTTATGGGGAAACAACATTTGTGTGTGCTTGTCCAGGAATGCTTTGATAGAAAACTGGATAGTTATGCTTATGAGGTTATAAGAAAAAACAATATGAGGGAAGAATTCCCAGTAGTATACCATCAGCGCAAAGAAAGGCAAGTTAATTAGTGTACTCTCAATCTCTTATGTACTGATATAATTTAGGTTCAGTCTGTTCAAAACCTTTAATATTGATTTTCAGAAAACTGAAGAAGCTTGCAGAAAAAGGATGTTGGGATGTTGCCGAGGCGAGGACACACAATGATAGACAACTTCTTCAGTATTTGGTATGTTGACAACCTCTAACGGCTATCCTGAATGAGCTATATATATATATATATATATATATATATATATAACTGTAGAGTCTGTAGTTTTTTTCCCTTTTTGCAAGTCATCTGAAAACTCCATGTCAAGACATTCATAATATGCAAAGGTTAGGCCTTGCTAAAAATTCAATACTACGGTATTAATTATTTGTTTCTACATTTGGAATCTGTGGATGATGTGTTATTATAACTATTGTTACACGGTGCATGCGTCTGATGAGTTATTTGTCACACAATGTATTACCATTCCAGATGTAAGGCACTAAGGTTACTCCATAACCATTTGAATTTAGGTGTGATATAAATCATTCTCTAGTTCTATTCTCTGCAACCAAACTCACAAAAACTGATCTTTTAATTTTCATTTGGGAAATACTAAAGGTTTATTTAGCTATGGAAGCTGGCTACCGAGACAAGGTAAAAGAACTATGTAATCGCTATTCTCTTGAAGGTTTTGCAAATATCAAAGGTATTTAACTCATCCCTCAAATATATTAAGTTGTAGGCATCACATAAACAACTATATAGTAGTGTTTTACTCCCTCCATCTAGATTTAGTTGTCCACTTTCTAAAATATCTCATTTTTAAAAGATGAGTTTAACGCATCAAATAAGTCCTTTAAATGAGTTTGTTACGTTCATGTCAACAATGATGATACTCTATCCTTAGTATATTTTAGACACTTCATCACAATTTCTCTATTTGTTGTGGAAAGTTGAAAACTAATATGGGACAAGCAAAAACAAGAAAGTGGAATCCTAAATCTGGGCGGGGAGTAATTTTTATGTGGTTGATGAGCTCCCAGACAAGACAAAATATTAAACAACCAGTAGTAGGTTCTAAGACTATCCCCAATGCTTGATGGGATATAGGGATTGCTATGCATTTTAATAAAAAAAACTTATAATCTCCCAATTTCAAATGCCATCTCCAAGCCACAATGGTGAAAAGGAAAAAATAAAAATAAAAAAACAATAGTCCTGGGCAACTTGTCAGAGGGCCCCCACATGTCATCCCCATTTTCATGATGGAGTTAACAAAAAATTTAAAGCAAAGAAGAAATTTGTCCGCAAGTCTTAGCAATCTCATGTCGTACGATCCTAAATTCACAATCCCTCTCTCCTAATTTCAATGTATCTCTTCACTTCTCTCTCTATTTTTATTATATAATATTATATTTTACAATTCCTCCATCCCCTATTGGGGGTAGTCCAAGGGCATACCAAATGCAGGGAGTCTTAAGATTTTCAGATTCTATTAGCATTCCACTATTTCAGACTCTTCTCCAGACTTTCAAAAGACTACCTCAATCCTCAGAATCTTTCACATTTTGCCACGTCAGCATTCCACTATCTTTAATTCCATTAACTTTATATATGTTAAACCAATTATCTAATATATAGTTGTACTATATATTGATTTTTCTACCATATTTATTTATAAATGTAATTAACCATTATAAAAATGTAACAACATTAAATATTACGGAGTACGAAGTATTTATTAAAATTAGAGAAAATTATAGAAAGTTAACACACTAATTACATAAAGTAAAATGAGTACATTTCATTAAAGTTACATAAGTAAACACACATTAAATGTAAATTGCATAAAATATAATATAAGGACAAGAAATGTTTTTGGTTTGTTTATTACATTTTTGGTTTTTTTAACGTTATTAATTCTTTTGGTTTTTTTTAAAAAAAATTGGTTTTTTTACAAAGCAATTTTATCTACTTTTTCTTTTTAGAAAGTAATTGTTACTAATTGCACGTGTCAAATTTGCATTGGATAGATTGAGGTGAGAGTCTTAGAAGTGAGTCTGGGATTTCAGAGACTCACTTTTAGACTTTCCCCACTTTTAGTCTGCGCCATGGTAGAGTCGGGAGAAAAGAGCCTTAAGACTCTCCTTCAGACTTTCTCAAGACTTCCATTGCGGATACCTTAATCTTATGACATAGTGTTGTCAATAATAATAATTTTATTTTAATATCATGCTTCTAAGTTCTAAGTAAACAGAAATGTTAAGATGTACACATGGAATACAAGAAAAGTCCCATAAAAACTAATTTGATTTGAAGTAATGCTCAAATGGAACCTACCAAGTAAGAACTACTTAGAAAATAATCTCTTGAGCTTTTGAGAAATGAGTTAATTTGATGCTATAAATATAGGACTAGCTATAGGTTTAAATCTTAGCTTATGGAAGAGATCTATGCAAAAGGCATGAGTTGAAATAAAATGCTGTTTTCAATGAAATTAGATTGCATTCGTTGAATTCTTGGCTTACGGGGACTGTTTTGATGTTACCCATGCTTTCATTTTATATAACTAGTAGTTGGGTTTAAACTATTTCTCCCTCTTTCTCTTACGTGTACCTGCTTTTTTATAGACCTTAAACGAAGTGTTGAACAAAGCCATTATTTGGAACTCAAAGATTTTTCTATTGAGGAAGTTGTTTGGGTTGACAATGTGAATGGCTTGCTTGATACTACATGCCATATTGAGAAATGTAAAGTTGTGGGTCTTGATTGTGAATGGAAGCTTAATGATCAAAAAGGAGGCTTACATAACAAGGTAGTATTAAATATCTATGTTGCACGGATTCTTCAAATGGGTGCTGCTTCCTGTTCCTGATACGTCCCTGATCGGGTGCTTGGAGCGTCTCCACACCCAAATCCTTTATAAATCATGAAAAGATTTGGTCTTTCACACTTTCAACCCCGTCCCTGTATAAGTCCTTGTCCCCGTCTAAGTGCAAACTAATCTTTTTATTTTCCCATTTTTATGCTTTAGGTTAAATAAGCTAGGAAAAAAGCAAAACCTTCCAGTTCTTGGAATTACTGTTGTAATCTCTCATTGTTGAGGGGAATTTGAACCATTTTACCCATCAAGGGGCTGATGCATTGGATAGGGGTTCTTGGCCTTGATGTGCACACCCATTATGTGGAGGTGTCTTTCACCTGCACCATCCCCCTTTCTCTATCATTCAAGGGATCAAGTACGCTTTCACTTTTTACTATAAGTGCTATGATGTTATTTTATTTTATGCTCACCAATTCATTTTAATGCTATAAAACTTTAGACCGAACTTCTCCCTCTCATGGGGAGGAATTAAAAATTTTCGTATTCTTAATTTATTATATTTTGTCTAGTGTATAGACATAGTCGCAAAAAAAAATAGTAGATTCTTTCATGGTTTTCTTTTTTGTTAATAATGCAGATTGATAAGATCAAAGTTGTTGGCCTTGTAATTGAAGAACCTTGCGAGCACGTAAAATCGTCGGTATGTTGTATTTTGCTCCTCGCATTTTATAAGATTGTATATTCTCTAAAATAAATTTGATGACGATCATTTTAATATACATTTAATATATATATATATATATATATATATATATATATATATATATATATATATATATATATATATATATATATATATATATTGCCTCCCTCCTATAATTTTCTTCCTCTTTTCTTTTTCACGGTCTCAAATGCCCTATTTTGATCATTAATATTTCTATTTATATATAATTTATATTATAAAAATATGATATTTTAAAACTTTATTTCAAAATGAACCTATTGATAATAAATTTATATCATGACTCCATATATTCTTCAATACTTTACAGTCAAAGTTAGAAACTGTTGACCAAGAGAAAGCAATACGGAAGATAATTTAGGGTCGGAGGGAATAACAATTATTATAAAACAAATAAAATTCTACAAGCATGAGATCCTAACTATAATATTGTCAATTATATGAGTTACAAATAAACAAATTACTTCTCGAAAAACAAAAATGTGATATTTCATTTTCACCTTCTATGCAATACTTGTATATGTTTATAGTTGATTTATAAATTATGCACAAAAAAGTTCAAATAGAAAAAATATGATATTTTAGCTTCATGGTGTTTATGCTACCCACCAAATATATCTAAGCTCGAACTCCCACACTAGGGTCTCTCCAGGATCGGCCCGAACGGTAACGTTAAAGGAGGTAAATTGAGCTTGAATCTTTAGTTGATCAATAAAAAGATAACATAGCTTTTTTTTTGAAGAAATGAACTAATGGTTACAAAATTCTTATTTACGGAGACCAAAAAGAGAATTTTAAGATCTCGGGAATTTTGCTAGATTTATTACAAGAGGATAAGGCTTATCATAAAAAGAAACTCAAGGCATGGTAACATCTACTCTTATCCATGAGGTGCATTAAAATTTTCCTTTTCTACTATCAAGTACATGAGTCTAAATTTGTTTCTATATTTTACATGTTCTTTCCATACGAATTGCTACATTCTCACACTTTTATTCTAACTAAGACTTTTAAATAATAGCATGTATATCTTCAAATACTCTTTCCAAATGCACCCACCTTTTATCAATGAACTCATTCTCATAACACACATATCTTCACGTTCTACTCCGTGATATGACAATATCATGTAGAGTTGATTTTTTTTGTGTAATATTTATTAATTCTGAGTTTAAAAGCAATGTTGTGTTGCAGAGCATTTAGTACATCATTGCTTGTTTGCTTTATTATTATACTACAATTTAGAGATTTTAATTGTAAATCAACAATAATGTACTAAATGGTCTACAACACATCTCTTTTAAACTAAGAATCTATAGAAAGTGTTAAAAAAATGTTTGGCGGGGAAACGGTGGGTGCGTTAGGAAAGAGTACTTAAAGATTACACGCTACGGAGTATTATTTAAAGTTCTTAGTTAAAAAATTGTGAGAACATAGCAATTCTAATATAGAGAACATTTAAAACACAAAAACAAATTCTAGACTCATGACTCATGTACTTGATAATAGAAAAGGAAAAATTTTAATGTACCTCTAGGATAAGAGTAGATTCTACCATGTCTTGAGTTTCTTTTTTCGATAGCCTTATCCCCTTGTAATCAAGCTTGTGAAATTCACGTGATCTTGAAATTTTCTTTTTTGGCCTCCTTAAATGAGAAATTTTGCAACAATTAGTTGATTTCTTTAAAAGATTTAAGAAATGTTGTCTTCTAGGGACTTTCCAAAAAAGAAAATAGAAAAAAGTTTACGGGACGGAGGGTACATAACGCAAATTAGATTTATAATACTTACCTTTTTCGTTCCACTTATATCGATCATGGTGTACTTATCTAGTCAAACCTTGGGACCCTATCGAGCATGCATATGTATTGCCTTACTTGTTTCATCTAAAATGTTATATTCGAAACATCCAAAATGGAAAGTGTAAAGCCTTTTTCTTAGACCAATAATGAATATCAAGTAGAGACTAGATGGAATATAGAGAAAGTGTGTAAAGTAGCAAAAGCGTACCTTGTCATTGTGTGTGCTTTTCTAAGAAAAGACTATGAATAAACTAGTATTGTATTGACACATCATCCGATAATATCGGCATGATACTACTCGAGATGTAGCTTAGTTGGTCAGTAAATGGTGCAAAAGGGGGTAATGTGAGGGTTCGACTCTTAGCAATAGTGATATAGGATGACAATGCGTAGTATGGGGTCCTTGCATGTATCATTGAGAGATCTTGCTCTCTATTGATCAAACTAAGATTAAAGCTCATTCTACCTCCGTTCATGCCAATTTTAAAGGGTCCCCGGGATGGGATTCGAGCTTAGATATCTTTGGTCGGTAGTAAAAACACCATGAAGCTAATTTTTTTTTCGAACATTTTTTTGCATTCAATATAAATCAACTATAAACATATACAAAAAACTAAAAGCATATATCAGTATTACATAGATAGTGAAAACCAAATAGCACATTTTTTATCACTAACTTTTTTATTTGTAACTCATTTAATCGATAATATTTTAGTTATGATCTCATTCTTTTAGAATTATACTCATTTTATAATAATTATTACATATAGAATGTATATTAAAATGATCTTTATAAAATTTATATTAAAAATATACAATCTTATAAAATGCGAGGAGCAAAATACATGTCGAATTTGGGTGCCCACAAGGTTCTCCAATTACGATTCCAAAAAGTTTGGTCTTACTAATTAACAAAAAAAGGAAACCATAAAAGAATCTACAAATTTTTTTAATGATTGTGTCTATACGCTAGAGAAAAAATAATAAATAAACATACCATATTTTTCACTCCCTTCCAACGAGAGGGAGAAGTTCGGCCTGAAGTCCTATAATATTAAATATAATTTGTGAGCATAAAATTAAATAACATCGTAGCACATATTGTTAAAAGTTAGAAATCATATGTGATCCCTTGAATGATAGAGAAAGGGGCGAGAATACGGTGCAGGTGAAAGACACCCCCACATATTGGGTGCCCACATCAAGGTCGAGCACCCTTGTCCAATGCATTGCCCCTTTGCCGCCAATGTTTCATTTATGTTTAGTGTACAAATCCAAGAGGTTTGTGTACCATTAACCATTTTATTCACTTCTTTTTATAAAAAAGGAAACTCATTCTCTTAGATTTGCTCCCAACAGCAAGCTGCTATTAGAAAATAAATAGTTGATCATAAAACGATCTCAAAAGCCTCTACTTGCTTAAAAATGTGTGAGACGGGCAAATATTTGCATTGAAAGGAGTGATGCTTATGCTGCCCATGTTTTGTTTTTTTTACTAGTTTGGATTTTTTGAATAAAATTCTCTTTTCACATATGTGATAGGTTTCGATAATGCAAATTGCTTCTGAAAGGAAGGCTTACATACTTGATCTTATAAAGCTACACAATGATGTCCCCGATATTTTAGATGAATGCCTAATGCGCATACTTCATTTTCCTGGAATACTAAAACTTGGTAAGAGATATTTTGCTTATAAACAATGTTTTTTCTTCCATATTTGAGTCTTCCATCTTTGAATTGCGGTGTACTGCCCAAAATTTGAAGAAGTATAATCCCAAATTTTTGTGAGGATGTTTTTGTCTAGTGGTTATAAGTGAAGAAGCATTGTGTACTATAATTGGCAATTCAATACCACATTTTCTTTATGCCAATAGCGCCCATAGCTTATGGAGCTACAACAGCATGCGTAGCATAATCCCAAATCCTTTAAAGTCCGAGAGGGTCAAGATGTATGACAATGGATCTAAAAGAGTCATTCTTGACAATGTTCTAGCTTTGAATACATAAGGGATCAAATCCGAATGGCACATTCTTCCCAGACATCTTACTGTCTACACTTTCAATGAAGTTTTGGACAGTAAATGCATCAAGGGTCTAACAGGAACAACTTCTATTTCCTACAGGGATAAGGTTGCGTACATCTTGATCCCCCAAACTCCAATGGAGTTGGGGATAAACTGGGTTTGTTCTTTTTGTTTTATTTGTCTAGGCCTTCTCTAGGTCTGTGCTGCTGAATGATTGTAGTCATCCTAGCCTATGAATTTTATAGGTTATAACTTCCACTGTGACATGTGTGAACTTGCTCGGTCTTATGAAAGACTACATTGCTTCAAGCGCTACGACATGGTTCTTGATATTCAGAAAGTTTTTAATGAGCCGAGGGGTGGTCTTTCTGGTCTAACAAAGGTAACTCCATAAATCAAACTCATTTTGTTTGTGTCAAAATATCTTTTCTCAATATTTTTGCTTGTCTCACACACAAGCCTTGGTTTTCGTTCTGTCCGTAAGATGTGAAGTAAAAAAAATGTGTTTTTTCTATGTGGTATTGACACAGAAAATATTGGGATCTGCTTTGAACAAAACAAGACGGAACAGCAACTGGGAGCAGCGACCTTTAACTCAAAATCAGGTATGTCAGCTTTACATAACCCGGTTAACTTGAATAAAACAACACTTGCTCTTTAGCTTTCCGTTTGTTTAAAAATGTTGAAGGGTTCAAGATTGAGTTACAATGGTCATGTTCTGTCCTATTACCTACATACATTGTTATGATCTTATCACTAAAGAGATCAAGGTTGTCTGCAGCTAGAATATGCTGCACTAGATGCGGTTGTCCTCATCCATATATTTTGTCATGTTCGTTGCCATACACAACCTGTTGGGGATGTCTCCGACGGGCACAACAAAATGGAGTGGAAATCACACATTGTATGGATATATATCATCTTCTCAGCCTTTATTTGCATCTGTTTCTGCTCAGTCACACATCTATTCCATATAATTTTCTCTGCTGAATGTAGATCCATGATTAAATGAAATCAAATATGCAGATATCACGCACGGACAACCCGAGGAAGGGCAAGAAGAAGAAAAGCAAGAAGATGAAGAAACGATGCCCTCGAAGATCCGATTAGTGTGATTGCCGAGAATATGCTGATGATGAGCTTGAGAAATGACACATTCCTCATGTGCATTTCTGTTATAATAATAATGTTTACCAGCCCTTTGTTTTTATTTATGAAATTGCCTGCTGATTCTGGATTTGCCTACATTTCCTTAGGTACGTATATTGCTTCCAACCTTATATATAGTACTACGTAGATAATAATAATAACTCTGTAAATAAGTAGCAGTCATAAATTAAATTTGGCTACAAAAACTTTCAATTGATTGGCATATTTTACTACATTCAATATCCGTTTCTGCTTATTTTTATTTGCTGGAGATATGCCCTTGGAATCGACTAAGGGAGAACAATATTGCACGTGCAAGCCTAAAAGGGTATTGTTGCTACAAGAATGCTCTTTTGTACATTAAGTTTTAAACTTGTTGGGATATTTAATCAGTAATATATTATTATTATTATTATTATTATTATTATTTTTGAAAGGAATTATTATTATTATTACTATTACTATTACTATTATTATTATTATTATTCATTAATTGGGCCATGATTGGGTCAAGTGAAACTCCCACTTATCACTTTGGCAGCAAATCAAAGAAAAATAAAGTCTTGGCAGTAGCCTTTCATGGACAGCAGCGCAGAAACAGAGAGAAAATAGAGTGCCGAGAGAAGAGAAGAAGGGAGAAAGAGAGGTCCAGCTTGGTTTTGTGCTCCGGTCCGGATGAAATTTTAGTGTGTTGTTCCTGAGATCCTCTTCTTCATATTCAACGGAGGGATTGTTGTTTTGACCTCTGGATGATGGTTGATGGGTGTATTTCACCCAAGACCGGTCAAAGGAGAAGGCCGAATCTTTGACCGGTCAATCTCGAAAGTTTTGGAAGGGAGACTTAAATCGTCAGCAAAACAATATATCATCGGCCAAAATATGACCGGTACACTTCACAAAAAGTATACCGGTCAAACTACGTTGTCATCCTATTTGTTCCAGACTTCGATGAATTCATCCCTCGGAGATTACCCGGTGTAGTTTCTGGGGTTGGAAAGTGTCGGCAGAGGAGGATCTGCGAGGGCTTGGCGTGTAGCGACCCGTGTCAGTAGAGGACAAATGGAGATGCTGGAGAATCCATCCAAAGCACTACTTGACAAAGGGAATGATCCCCTTCACAAGGCGACAAGGCAGCTTGAGGACGAAACCAGTCACCTCGCACCACATCAGCAGCATGCCCCCACGTGGGCGCACGTGGTCCTGTCCCCTTAGCCTAGTATAAATACTCATGTAAACCTCAGAAAGAGGGATCCGAATTCATTCTCTCTAAACTCCCTTGTAAAAGCACCCGTGCATTCTCCGTTATAATATAAATTGGGCTACAGGTGTTCCACCTAAAGTCCTACCGGTCAAT